CTCGGCCTCCCAAAATGCTGGGATTACAGGCGTGAGCTACCGCACCTGGCCACAATGGGAAACTAAGGGCTGGATCATTCTTTATTTATAATTTTTTATATTGTTTAGGGGAGTAGGGTACATTTAGGATATTTATTATCCTGGTCTCTACCCAGCAGATAGTAGTAGCAACCCCCTATCATAATAGCCAAAAATGTCTCCCGACATTGCCAAATTTCCCCTTGGGACACGGTTGCCTCCAGTTGAGAACTAGTTTAAATTTAGAAAAAAATTGGAAAGGATATGTATGTAACAAATTGGTAATAGTAGTTCCCTCTGGGATATGGGACTGGAAATATAGAGGGATGTCTTTTACTGCCCTTTTAATATAAAATTTACAAAACCATTGTAATATGGATAGTTCTTGTGTGTTTTTTCAATCTTAAAAACGATTAACTTTGAAAGGCAACATCACATTTCAATTTTAGTCATTGTGGATTTTATTGTGGAAAGGCAATTCTGTACACCTCTGGCTGCTTTTCTATCTAGTTTTATTGAATTTTTTTTCTTGTTACCTCTTTTGAAATCTAGAAAGTTCTTTTTTCAAACCCTTCTCTATCATTGTGACAGCAGTTCATTTCTTCATTCAGTGTGTAATTATGAAGCACCTACTATGTGGCAGGCAGGTGCTAAGCTTGGTGCTGGGGAGGAGTGATAACTGTAAAGATTTGGTCTCTGCCCTCACAGAGCTTGCTGTCTAGCAGGGAGGATGTCAGTCATGCTTATTGCTTGGAAGACCGCAGCCTGCTCTGATGTTGCGGATTTCAGCATTCATGTCCATGGCTCCCATAGTACATGTTTTATGAAGGTAACTCTGCCAGAAGAAATCAGTCGATGATTAGAGATGGAAATTGTTAGCTCAGTCGCAAGTTTTCTTTTGATCCTGTCTCCTGGTCTGGGCATTTTCTGTCATTTTGGTAAAACAAACTCCTTCAGATAGGGAACGTTTCTGTTTCCTCCTTGCTCGGTAGTAAGCTGAGTGAAACATCCTGTGTACCATAACTGAAGGGTTGGGCACTACCACACCTAGTCGAGGGAAAAGGTGAACCTAACAAGGCCTGCACAGCACTGCTGCTTTGAGGCTTTGGGAATTACGAGGAGAAAATTTTGTGCTTTACCAAAAAGTAATTTAAAAATGCTGCCTGATGTAAGCCTCGTTCGAATGACTAGTGGAATTGCAGAGTGGCTTGCATAGGAAAAAACAAACCCCAGAGTAAAATGGCGAGTGGGAAGTTCCTTCCTGATTTGTATTGTTTTTCCAGTTACAGACAGGAAACATTCAAGTGTGTTTTCAAGCACAGAACATTGGACACAAAGAAGGCTCTGACAAAGCAGAAAAGCCCCATATACAAAAAATTTAGGTCCATGCAGCAAAATGTCTGATTTAAAACAATCTGATTTAGCAAGTGTTATTCTTATTATTGTATCACTTTGTCCACTGGTTTGGTTTTTTTTTTTTTTTTGTCTTTAGGTACCTTGATGAAGTCAATCTCTTGTTCCCCACCCCACCCCCACCCTTTGCTTTAATGAATTTTAAAAAACCCAACCAATCCAAGATAACACTTCTGAGTAAAAAACGGCAAGTTTTTATGGCTAATGTACGTGCCTATTGAATGGCACTTTGACCAATATTCTGAATAATTACTAGACTTTCCCTGGGTAAAAATTCCACATTTCTGATTGAGATGAACACTCCAAAACAGTTCAATATAGAAAGGGCTGAGCCTTGGACCGGTAAGAGCGATGACAGAGATCAGGTCATCACATTGTTGGGAAAGGTGGAGACAGTGGTGGTTCCTAAAAATTAAGGTGGAAATAGCACAGTCCCACAGAGGAATCTCGTGGGTGAGGGAGCCACCCCAATTTGTATATTACATTCTGCAGTCGTTATTTGTCACTTTTAAAAGTAATCTTTCCTGATTATAGATCATTTTTAATAATTTCAGTGGACCCTAAAATCTGGTTAAAAAGACACATTGGATCTTTTTCTAAAATTAATTTTATTAATGTAATATGCAGAGCATCCACAAATGCAAGGAACATAGAGCAAACTTATTTTTAAACAGTATGCTAACATTTTCATGTAATATGTTGAGTATATTTTTCAGCCTCCAGATACCTTTTCAAGTAAAGTACCTCTAAATTTAGAGCCCAGTTAATTTGAAAAAAGGACAATAAATATACTGATTTTCTTGATATTTTGGATTCTCTGAGGGATGTGTTCTGTTGTGCTTTTGTGGAGATCGACAATTGGACCCATTGGTTTAACTCAGGTATATGTTACCTCTAGCTGTATCAAGCAGGCTACTTAAAAATGTAAGTAATGTGCTATCTAAAAAAAAACTTGGAACTATCAAATGTAGTTTAAAATGTCAAAAATAGTAAAAGGGTTATCACAAAATATTGTGGTTTCTCTCCTTACTCTCCCAGAGATTCCCCAACCCCAGAGACAACCACTTTGAAATTTTAGCAGTTTATTCTAGCATTTATTTATGTCCATATTTATAAATAATACATGTGAACTATCATTTGGGTCATCAAATTTGGGTGTTCTCTGTTGACTTTTTGTTATGATAAATGAGAGTTTAGGGCTCTTGTATAACCTTTACCCTGTTTCTGCTCCCCTATCCTTCCAATACGGTCACAATTTTTGGTTATATTACTCTTTGAGAGTTACATTATGATGTCCAATCAGTTATTTGCAACTGAGCATGGTAGTGTGCTATGAGTATCTTTCTGGTAGATTTTTGTTTTTACATTAGCTTTATTTTCTTTGTGACTGTTGCAGCACTGTGCTCATAAATGTTTAAAAACTTCCAAGCCCCAATTTGAATTGTTTGTGGTTGTTTGTATTATGTTTGGTCTTTGATTTCAAGTACTGATGTGAGGTCACTGAACAAGGAGTTGGGGAAAGATGCTCACGATTCGTGTTCTCCCGAGCTGGCCCTGGCACACCACTGAACTATTACTAACTCTCTCACACCTCTCGTAGCCCACATTGGCATTGTAAAACAAGTTTTCCTCTCTGTTATTTTTAAAAAATAATTTGTTTTGTAAGAGGACATACTTCCTGTGATTCTCAGGTGGAGTCTTGTCTTCTGAACTTGTGAAGATTTTAATAGACCTTGGGCCATTTCTCTGTGTACTCATACCTACAGAAGGAAGACATTTCAGAGTTGAGGTGGGTTCTGTCACAGATATACCGGGCCCTCTCCTGATTTGGGGGTTTTGGTCAGAGAAGAAAGGTGAAGGTTACCCAATCCAATGGTGGTATTTTGCTGGAGGGGAATGAGGCCATTGGCGAGACTCATGGAGGGATCTGATGGTGAAGCTGTGGCGGTCTCATGCCAGGTATGTGTGTCCCTGCTAGGCTGACTGTCAGGTTTCTTTTTGAGGCCTGTTGTTTAACCTCATAGTCAGCTGGGGCCCTGCTCCACTTCCCTAACTGGCATGACTACCCGTGTTTGGCTCTTCAGTAATGCCCAGCACTGTGTGTGCCAAGCAAGGGCTAGGATGGCACATTTTGGCCTGCTGCTGGCGGAACTTGTTCATAGAATTGAGAGTTGGCTGCTGCTGGAAGTTGGGGCCTTGACTTTGTCTCCAGGCTCTGATCCTCTGGACCTGGGAGGTATTTGAGTCAGGTCAGAGTTCCAGTTTCCTGCAGAAACTGGTGAGTGAGCTACCCCTATCGGCATCTCCAGGTTAACTGGGACACTGCTGTGGCAGCTGGTGTTGGAATCCTCTGTGGCCCAGGCCACGTCTGCCTGATGTGCCATCGCCCTAAACTTAGGCCAGAGGGGGGCAGCATGTTACTTCTTGCCCTCACCCAAAGCTCTGCCTCTCTCAGCTTAGCAGTGTTCTGAGGTCATTCTAGGAGACCCATTCACTTTCTGGCCCAACAGCCTCTCCTTCTCTTGCATTGGTTAATGTCCGAGATCTTGTGGCTCCCCGTTCTGCAATATATCTTATAAAAAGGTCTCAGAATTTCTGGTTTACTCATGGCCTCCCTCTGACCCCCCCTCACTATAAAGAGCTAAAGCAGACTTTTTCTTTATCCTTAAAAAATTTCCCTGTTATGTCAATGGGAATTTGGTAGGGATGTTAAATGACTTGGTTCAAATCACTATTTGAACCAGAAGTCCAAAATGGCACTTAGATTCTAGTAATTCTGGGTATTGTGTGTGGCAGTGGTGTAGCCCTTTCAAACTTCAGAGAGAAGTCTTCTTAAATTATTATGGTCTGGCAGTGGAGACTCTAGCAACTTAGAATGCCCCTCTTCTGATTGCTGGCTGCCACTTTGGTTTTGTGGAAAGGCTGGTGAAGTTAATAGAAGTTCTAAAGCATAGCAAAGGGAAAGTTGTGGAAATACTGTTTTGTTTTGTTTTTTAAGTAAAGATGGGGAGAAACCTAAAGGAGAGAATACTCAATTGTTGTTATTGTGTGTTATGGTCTAGACTTGTATTTTTGCATAATGTTTCTGGATTTGTGATGAACTTGCTTCAGTAAGGCTCTGAAACTTGGGAAGGATCATTTTGAGAACCGAAGTTTAAGCTTCTGTAGAACAGTCTTTTCTCAAAGTGTGATCTAGAGACCCACCGCAGTGGAATTCTGAGCAGGGAGGTGCTGTTGAAAATGCAGGATCTCACTCCAGACCTACCGATTTAGAGTAGAATCTCCAGGTTAGACCTGGGAAATGGCATTTGAAATCAGCATCCCCCATTGGTGACTCTGAGCCTGTTCAAGTTTGAGAACCACTGCTCTAGATCGTTCATTCTTGCTTTGGGTTGTTATTCTCTGCAAACTTTCGTTTGGTTGTTTCTCTTTGGTAACGCTTCCCCTGCCCCAATCTAAATTCATTTCTGCCTATTTTGTTTTAAACTCCAGACCAATAATTGTTAAATTTTGAGTTGCTTTTCATTTCTAGATTACTAACTCTGAACTTTTAATTTTTCCCACAGAGCTGAGAAAACAGAAGTCCTCAGTGAAGATCTGTTACAGGTAACAAAATATAGTCTTTTTAAAATGCTCTGTTTAAAGAGATGAAAAGAAAAAAAATCTGTAGGTGAGCATTGAAGCTGGTGGGTTTGTTTTTCTTTTACCTGAAACAGAACAAAATGAATTAGCATGGTTTTGAGCAGGAAAGAATAGTAGTTTTATTGCATGTGATAAAAGGGGGATCTGAAACCCAGCTGCCTGGGGTCAAATCCCACGTCTGCTCCTGACTAGCTTTGTGGCCTCAGGGACTTACTTAACTTCCCTGTGCCTCAGTTTCCACTTCTCTAAACTGAGGGTAATGGCAGTCTCCATCTCATGGGGTGATTAGGAGGGTTTAATGCATTAATCATGGGATGCTCTGGAAACAGAGCCTGGCACGTGGTAAGTGCTAGATATTAGTGATTTGTTGTTATCATTACCAATACTATAAGCCACAGAGATGGTTTCTGATGTGAAACTTCCCTTGATTTGCTATGATGTCCTTCTACCTCTTTTCTTAGTTAGATCTCTTTCAGAGCAGTTCAAGGCTGCCTTTTATTTTGGTTGTGTGGAGTTTACCCAGGAGGCTATGAATCCTAGGAGGCAGGAAGCAGAATTTATTTACTGTTGTTTTTCGAATACCTAGCACAAGGACTCAAGATCCATATGTCTTTTTAACAAAGAATAAATGAGTACCTTCTGTTCCTGTAACAGACAACATTCTTGTAATAAAATCAGTGAACAAAACAGACCAAGGCTCCTGTCCTTGTGGAGTTTACATTCTAGTATCATTTGGAATCAAGATTAAATTAAGAAATTTTATTTGTTTGCATTTTGTTTTGCTCTTGTGGCAAATGAAGAATGTGCATTCATTTTGTAATGTTTTAAAATCTGGTCATTATAAGATTTGGGGAAGGTGACGTGGTATCTGCTCCTAAATATGAATATAAACTTGCCTGCCAGATTCGAGTCCTGGTGACCTGGGCTAGGATCTGAAGAAAAGCTTTTCTTTTGAGAAAGGCACAAACAGTCTCATCGGGTAAAATGTTTTGGGGTTAAAATGTATTCTGCTTTGAATTTGTTGATTTTTCTTTAAAATAGAAAGCATCCCCAAGGGCCTGCTCTCCTTCTTCATGAGTCATCAGAATACACATTTTTGGCATTCCTTCCTGTAAAAAGCAGCTCTCTTTGCCATAAACAGCCATATCCCAGCAATAGTATTTTGGGAAGCTACTCATGATGCCTGGGGTCCCCTAAGTCAATGTTTCTTACTGCTAGCTGTCCATTCTACTTTGAGGTTTATTTAAAAAAACAAAACAAAACCCTCCATAAACCCAATAAGGAATAATTTTGAAAACAGTGATCTCGAAGTTAAATTATGGAACATTTATTTTAATTCTTCTATCTGATGTACAATGTGGCTTCACTGCTGTGAGCTGGAGACAGCTTCTGCGTATCCCTGTGGTTTTTCCCACCTGGCAGTGAATCTGGGCCAGGACCAGTACATTTTCAGTGCTGCTTGGTTGGACCTGGGGCATTGCTGGTGCTTGTCACATGTAATTTGACTACTGCCGCTCAGTCTGATAGTGAGTTTTAGTTAAGACTGTCCCTCTCCCTGCACATAGATTCAGCCTTACAGGGATCTAGAATCCTCAGTGTAAGGGAGGTTGGTGGTTCTCAGCCAGGGTGATCTTTCCTGCTGGGGGATATTTGACAATATCTGGAGAATTTTTGGTTTTCACAACTAGGAGAGTGGAATGCTACTGGCATCTAGTGGGTAGAGGCCAGAGATGGTGCTAAACATCCCACAATGTATAGGATAGCCCCCCCACAACCCACAATTATTCAGCCCAAAATGTCATTAGTGAGAACCCCTGGTATAGGTGAATGGGAACCATTTCCATTTATACTCAAGAGTTAAAATGTTAGACTGCAGGATGCTTTTTCTACCTACATGCAAACACCACAAAAGGGAGAGGCTGAGTTTGTTATTAAGCCCTGCAAATGACTCTTTTGTCTCTGCCTTCTCAGATTGAACGGCGCCTGGACATGGTGCGGTCCATGTGCCACCATTCCCATAAGCGCCTGATGGCATGCTTCCAGGGCCAGCATGGCACCGATGCAGATAGAAGACACGTGAGTATCAGATGCGACTCAGGGCCACAGTTCCTGCATATCTCTGAGGCTTTTCACTCCCGTGATTGGTTGGTTTTTCCCAAGCAGCATCAGCAGATTTGCCTTTGGATCGGTTCCTTCTATAACCAGGCATGCTCATGACACCTACCTGACCATAACATTCTTTTGTGCTTAATATATCACTGGGCTAAAAACCCTGCTCTCACTGAATCTTCTCCAGGTGCTTTTGAAGACTCGATGAGCCATTTGTCAATGCTAAGAGAATGGACATGTCTGTTAGGTATCCTTTGATGGAAGAAAGCTGAAAACTTGTCTTAAATTGACTTAGAAAGTAGAAGTAATTTATTGGTTTGCTAACTGAGAAGTCCAGAAGTTGGGATAGACTTGAATTATTAATAAGACTTGATCTAGCATTTCAGTCATGTAACCCAAAATCCAGTTTCTTTCCTTCTCTACTTTCTGCCTTCTTCAGTGTTTGCTTTATCCCTAGACAGGCACCTCTCATGGCTGTAGTGCAACCATGCAAGCTGTTGGCACCAGCAGCTTCCATTGTGCATTTCGCTTTCTTGTGTATGCCCAATGGGAGTAGAGAGCATCTATTCCAGTAGTTTTCTTAATAGAGTAAGAAAGCTTCTTTTTCTAAGCCCTTGGCAGATAGAAATCCCTTTCCATTGTGTCAATCTGTAGCAAGTCACATTTTCTATTCCTGAACATTCCTGTTCCACCGTACTTACCATGCATAGGGAGTGATGTTGGGTGAGGAGATGTTGTATGCTGATTGGCTTAAGCTGGTTGGGCCCAGCCCTAGAACATGGGCTGTGATCCTACCTCCAGCTCATAGGTTTTATAGAGCCTTGGGTAGATCCCTAAGAAAAATCAGGGTACTGTTACAGAAAGAAAGAAGGATGGACTCTGGGAAAGCCATCCAACGTCTACTCCAGGGTACCTTTGTTCAGAGCATTCAGGTTCTCAGGTGCCACCAGTAGAGCACAGCAGCCTTCGTTCATTAGGCAGTTCTGTCCTTGTTTTTACAAGTTCTTAGCTTATGAGCATGCACTATCCCTTAGAGCCCATGTCACATTAAAGTGACAGTTTCAGTAGCACACAGTGAACCTGTGATTTGCTATGTTGTTTTGTCACCAGATGTTTCAAAACGAAAAACTAGTATGTAGATGATCTATGTTCCTCTTCTACATCACCTACAGATATTATGGGGCATCTTGACAACAGGGTTATTCCTCTCTTGCACAATAGTTAGGATTCTGCAGTGGTGTATATCACAGGCGTGGAAGTTCGCATACACCTACACTTCCAGGAATGCTTGCTGCTGGGTCTCGTCCCTCGGAACCAGGCCCAGTCTACTGGTTCTGCCCCCGCAGCTCCTTGTTCTCTTGCCATGGCTTCTGCTCTGCTTACCCTTTTCATATTGTTTCCTAAGCTTCTGTGCTTCTGCTTATTCTTAAAGTCATATTCTCCGGGCCACCTCTGTTCTCATGGCTTCTGATTGATGTGTTTATGCCAGTGACTTCTAAATTGCTTTCAACCAAAGCAAAATACTTCCTCCCTCAGTTGTCTATTTTAGCATGCATAACCAGTTCCTCCTTCTGCATTGACTCTTTTAAATTCCATCCACCCTATTATGCAAGCCGGACAGTTATCTTATATTCCCTTCTATTTTATCATCCTCCCTCCCATAGCTGCCTGATTAGCAGTCCTGTGGTTTCTCCTGTGAATCTTTTAAATTCCTCACCTCCACTCCATCTCCACCACCTTCACCTTAATGCAAGACCTTATTACCTCTCACCTGGGCTGTTGTACTCACCTCCTGAGCCACATTTCCTGCCTCTGATTTCCCTCCTTCCCAGTCTGTCTTCAACCAGATCACCAGAGTCAATTTCCTGAAATACAAATCAATCCTGTCATCCTCCTGTCTAAAAAAAAAGGTTTAGGCCAGACACAGTGGCTCACGCATGTAATCCTAGCATGCTGGGAGGCTGAGGCAGGAGGATTGCTTGAGCTCAGCAGTTTGAGACCGGCCCAAGCAGAGCAAGACTCCATCTCTCTAAAAATAGAAAAGTTAGACCGGGCACAGTGGCTCATGCCTGTAATCCTAGCTCTCTGGGAGGCGAGGCAGGTGGATCGTTTGAGCTCAGGAGGTCGAAACCAGCCTGAACAAGAGCGAGACCCCGTCTCTACTAAAAATAGAAAGAAATTAGTTGGACAACTAAAAATATATAGAAAAAATTAGCCGGGCATGGTGGCACATGCCTGTAGTCCCAGCTACTTGGGAGGCTGAGGCAGAAGGATCGCTTGAGCCCAGGAGTTTGAGGTTGCTGTGAGCTAGGCTGACGCCACGGCACTCTAGCCTGGGCAACAGAGCCAGGCTCTGTCTCAAAAAAAAAAAAAAAAAAAATTCTTGCCTTGGTGGTTCTTAACATGGACCAGAATTATACTTCTGGGGTTATTTGGAAATGTGTAGAGACAGTTTTGGTTGTCATGAGGACTGGGGGAAACCACTGGCATTTGGAGGACAGGAACCAAGATGCTAAATGTTCTGTAGTGCCTGGCGCAATAGTCCTACACAAGGAAGTGTCCTATAATTCTGGTGGTGCCTCTTTTGACGGACACTGGCTGGTTCCCATTGCCCGGGATAAAGTCCAAGCTCTTTATCATGACTTTAGCCCTTTATAATCTGATCTCATTTGCCTTATCAGCTTCATTGTCTCCTGCTTCCTCCCATTCACACTGTATACCAGCCACATAGTACCCACCAGTCCCCAAATATGTCACTGTCCTTCATACAGTTATGGCTTGTTGTTCCTATTGTCTGCTTTGAGACACAGCCCAAATGTCACATATAGTCATTAAAAATACAAATTAAATATTTTATCAAACACCTACTATATACAAGTGCTAGAGATATAAAATGAATGAAATGGAAATATTCATAGGCTGCTGGGGAGATAAATACAAATGGGTAATTATAAAACAACGTACTAAATAAACATGCACAGGATATTATGGGAGGACCAACAATGGGCACCACAGGAGAAGGGAGGAGCCAGGTCAGGCTTCCTGGAGGAGGTGGTACCTGAGCTGTAAAGGAGGGAACATAGTGCAGGTGATGGGAATGTTCTAGGCAGTGGGGCAGAGGGGCTCAGCCCTTATTTTTAGAACCTAATTCCTCCGCTTTCCTTTTCTAACTTTAAACAAAAGTGTCAAAGACAAGGCTGTGAGGATGTCTACACTTTGCACTTGGGAAGAGGAGTCACCATGACAATGATGAGAGAAGACAAGTGATCACAAGAGATCGTATAATATGGGGAAAATCACAGCAGTCTCTAGAGCTCTAGAAAACACAGGAGGAGCCAGAAGCTCCCATGCATGTGAAGAGGCAAGATGGGTGGGTGGCCTTCTCAGCCCAAGCCTCCACTGACATGGCAGAGCTTATGTTGTGGGTCATATTAGATTAGATTATTAGATTAGATAGAATTATTTCTTTTTGTGCGATTGACATGCATTTTACAAATTAAGACTTTTGAACTTTTAAAATTCATCCCTGGTGATAGAAAAGCTGTTCACCTCTAGGAAACGCGAAGCCCTCTCTATGGAAGAGTTCAATGTTAGTAGACAATATTTTCATTAATGAGCTCATGTGTGAAGCAGAATTTCCTTATTTATGTACATTGGGAAACAGGATTGTTTTGGCTTTGGAATCAGAGCAGGGAAACCACAAGGCTATTTAGAACTAGAATCTTGAATGATACTTGTTGAAATAGATTCTCTCTTTATGTTTTTTTTTCATAGACTCATAGAGTTCCAGAATTGCATAAAATATCTTTCTCTTGATTATTGCATTTATCTTACATTAACTTCTTTAGAAAGGCAGCATAACTAAAAGGTATGAATTATCCTCTATTATTCTCATGTATTCCTTATCCAGAAGTGTGACAGCTGGAAATGGTCTCCTTGTGGGGCAGATGGAGCCCATTATTTACTTATTTGAAAGTAATTTAGGGGGAGGAGAGGTAGGTAATTATCTTTGTTATTTACTTTTAGATTTCAATTTACCATTTTGAATAGGTTCTACATTTACATGGTCAAAATTCAGAATATACAAAAGAATATAAAGTGAAGTGTCTCCCAGCCCTGTTCCCCAGGCACCCGATCACCCGTCCAGAGCCACCACCATTAGCAGTTTCTTATAGAGCCTTCCAGAGATATTCCATAAGTAAGCGTATCAGATGGAGCCTTTCAGAAGCAGAAAAGTCAGGTGTCATGCCAGGGGTAGACCCTGTGTTTTTGACATGAATGCCCTTTCTACTGGGAAGGTAAAATTACAGGGAATGCCGTGGAATCGAAAACATTTTTTGTTAGCAGATTATGGTGTTGTAACCAACCCGCTTGTTACTTCCAGCCCTGTTTGCTCCATTGTCTGAGATAAGCCATTGGCCAGTGGTGAAAAGACACTGAACTGGGGCTCAGGCCATCAGCGCTGAGGTCTGGCTCTCCTGCCCTTTCCTGGGGTGCCTGGCCAGGCCGCTTAACTTCCTGACCGCACGGTTAGAACATTAGATCAGGTGATTCTATGGTCATTGCCAGCTGAAAAACAAATCTCTGTTAAGAAAATGAGTGGCTTCGTGCTTAAAAACATCATAGAAAATTTTTTGGATATGTAGCTAGATAATTTTACATATCTAACTAAAGCTAAATTTTAGAATTATAGCCAAATTAAGAGTCAGTTTAAGAATGAGTGTTCCAGCAAAAGCTTTTGAAATTGAGCACTTTATTGCATTTACTGGTCATGATAAAATCATTTGGAGAGCAAGGTGTATGTCTTATGTTCCCAGTGCCTGGAGCATAGTATGCACTTAATTAATAATAATAGTAACAGCAACAACAACAGTAATGGCAGCTAACATTTACTGAATGCTTGTGATGCACTAGGTACTTGATGTTGAATATCTCCTTTTGTCAACAGAAGCCCAAACAGAGACACAGAGTTAAGTCATACAAGTAATACCTGTGAGACTAGAACCTGAACCCAGACAGGCTGCCTCTTACCTGTGCAAAGAGTGATGATCTGAAGCAGATCATTGAGAATGAGTATCAAATAATAATGGAAAAAAAAAAAAACACACTGTCTTCTGCCTTCCAGAAAAAACTCCCTCTGACAGCTCTCGCTCAGAATCTGCAAGAAGCCTCATCTCAGCTGGAAGACTCTCTCCTGGGGTAAGAGTCTGCTGCTTCTAGAGGGCTGAGCACCCTGTGACCTGATGGAGGCGGGGGGGCTGAGTGATGTACATGGCAGCCACCTGTGACCAGAGGGACTGTGAGCATGACAGTGTGACTCATCTGCCAGGAGGATGGCTCAGATTCTGTGGGAGGAAGTGGGGTCAAGGCCACGGGGTTGCTGGGGAATCTTCCTTTTAGTAGGAGCGAGGTTGGAGTTGGATGGCAGAATGGGCCGCTAACAAAAGTAATTGATAGGGCCGGGCGCCGTGGCTCAGACCTGTAATCCTAGCACTCTGGGAAGCCGAGGCGGGCAGATCGTTTGAGCTCAGGAGTTCGAGACCAGCCTGAGCAAAAGCGAGACCCCATCTCTACTAAAAATAGAAAGAAATTAGCTGGACAGCTAAAAAAAATATATAGAAAAAATTAGCCGGGCATGGTGGCGCATGCCTGTAGTCCCAGCTACTTGGGAGGCTGAGGCAGAAGGATCGCTTGAGCCCAGGAGTCTGAGGTTGCTGTGAGCTAGCTGATGCCATGGCACTCTAGCCAGGGCAACAGAGTAAGACTCTGTCTCAAAAAAAAAAAAGTAATTGATAGGATCAATATTTATTCTTCTACGCTTAGACATAAAGAACTTGAGCCCTTCCCTGTTCCAGGTGTTGACTCAGACTTATAAACTCTGACCAGTCCCTTTCAGTCCTTAAGAGTTACTTCCTTTAAGGATGTTCACCAGAATGTCCATGATAGTTGTCTCAAAAGAGTATATTTTCAGAATTATTTGGATTTTTTTTACAGTTGACATTTATTATTTAAACAATATTAAAAAAAATAATAATAAAGCAGCTTTCATTGTAAGAGGAAGGTTTATCCAGGCTGGTGTCCTTGAATCTTGTCTTCTCTCTCTGGCTGTAACATGGGGCTTGCTTCCCAGCTGGGCATGCCCTTTATGCTTTTCAGACCGTTTCTCAGGGTCTTTGATCCTCCCTTCGCCCTTTCAAGGAGAATGGTTTCCTCCTATTCTTCATCTTTCCTTCGTCCTGTCTGTGCTCCCACGTTGGGGGCACTGGCCCTGGGAGGAGGGTGGCACTTGCCTGCATGCTGGCATCTCTGTTCCCTCCAGCCTGGATGTGTTTCCATGTTTGTACTTCCTCACGCGACTGTTACTGTCATCATACCGTAGTGATGCTGTGTGCTGCACTGTTCTAAGTGCTCATTTACTCCTCAAACAACCTAGGAGGTAGGTAATATCAGTGTTCCCATTTTACAGATGAGGAAATTGACAAACAGAGAGGGTAAGGAAATTGCCCGAGACCACACCAGCTGGGAAGTAGCAAAGGCTGTATTCAAACTCAGGCAGCTTGGCACCAGAGAGCATGCTCTTAACTATGACACCATGGCCCCCTCACTCCAGTGCCATACACATTTCTGGTGTCAAAAGACCCCATAGAGAGCTAGAAGGGCAGAGTGGGAAGGAAAGGAGGGAAGGAGGGAAGAAGGTACAGAGACGGTGGAGTTGCATCACCTACATGTGCACTTGGTAGGACATCAGCCATATGTTCACAGGAAGATGAAAAGGAAATATGATGTTCACATAACATGGCCCTTAAGTGTTAGCCAGCTAACTACCTCGTCTGCACTGTAGCAAGGAAACGCTGCTGAGGCTGGACTCACTAACAGACATAAGACAACATATGATGAACTTTGTGTCTGATTTAAAAGATTTTCAGGGTATTTTGAGAACTCTTGGTTTTCACCTGACTTGAGAACCTAATTCTTGAGTAAGTTGTGACCTTGCCGTTCACATGCATCTGCCTGCCCCACCCCCTACACGCAAAGTACATGCCTGAGAGTCATTTTCATTTTAAAGCACACATCTGTGGATTCACGTTTTAGGCAATGGCCTAATGTGCCCCCATCAGAGCAAGCAAAACCACATCACCGTGATAATCCTGTACCTTGTTTCATGAGCATGTGCTCGTTGTTGGGGTGTCTTGTTTTTAAAGGAAGATGCTGGAGACGTGTGGAGATGCTGAGAATCAGCTGGCTCTCGAGCTCTCTCAGCATGAAGTCTTCGTTGAGAAGGAGATCGTGGACCCTCTGTACAGCATAGCAGAGGTGGGTGCTTGCACTGCACGGCGTAGAAGAGCCGAGAAAGGTCTGGGCTGGGTGGTGAATGGTTCACTTGTGTCTAACATTTTAACAACAGTCACTGGCTTTAACCATGCACATCTTGTTGGAAATGATGAGAATAAATTGAAGGTACAAAATCCTTTGCCTAAGAGAAAAACATTTGTAAATAAATATTGCACTTTAAAATGTTAAGCTAAAAGCCCTGAAGTGCATCCCATTTGGTGTGTTCTTCCTTTTAGGTAGAGATTCCAAACATCCAGAAACAGAGGAAACAGCTCGCGAAGTTGGTGTTAGACTGGGATTCGGTCAGAGCTAGGTAAGGGAAGGCTGTAAAAATAACAGTAATGCAATATTATGTCACATCTCCAGCATTCGTCACCATTCCCTCCACGGACGAGAGAAAGACCACTGAAGGGACAAAGTGGAAGTTGTCACCAGTTCATGCACTTGAGCCACAGACCAGGCCATAGCCTGCCAGCACCTCGCACAGGCCTCGTTCTCCCAAACATGACAGTGGGGGTATTGTTAGAACATCCTGCTTTCAGTGAGCCAACAGTGAAGGGCAACAAAAAAATAAGGAAAACTAAGTAGGTGTATTTAATGAGAGAGGGGGTGGTGGCAGACAGTTCTAGGAGCATAGCTCTTGGGATACTGGAGTGTAGGAATAAACAGACCTGGGACCCTAACAGTTCCTGAGGGTCTTGCCGTGTCCCAAACCCTGTGTGCTTATAATACCTTCACAACCAAGAAATGCTGCGCTCACAAGGGAGGAACTCACGTAAACCTAAGTAACCAAATCCAGAGGGCTGCTGACTTGGGGGCTGATATCAGCAATGGAGTGTGTAGTAATTCTGGGCAGGACTGCTGCCTCAGTTCTGTCCCCAGTGGAGGTTGTCAGTGATTTGCAGGAAGCAGGAAGTAGCCACCACCAGCCCCTGTCCTTTTCTTACTTCACAGGGTTGACAAACTTCTATAAGTCTAGGTGGTAAATCTTTTCAGCTTTACAACCCAGATGGTCCGTGCTGTAGCTACTTAACTCTGCTGTTGTAGCATAAAAGCAGCCATGGACAATGTGTAAATCAATGAATATAGCCGTGTTCTAATAAAACTTTATTTACAAAAACAGATGGCTTGGCTGACCCCTGTTTTCTTAGCTCTTTTAATCCTCGTTGCAGTCCTATGAAGAAGATATGACTATTTCTGTTTGACAAATATGTGGTGATGCAGCTGTCATTCATTGAGTTCTTTGGTATCAGATGCTTTTATTACAGATTTAGGGAGTGGCTGCATTTCCTTGTGTCTAAGATTCTGTTGAGTATTACATGCATCACTGATTTAATATCAGTTATTTGGGAAATAAAGAAACACCAGACCATTAAATGTACAAATAAATTATTAAGATGTGTCCTGATTTAAGAAATGTTGAGGCTGGGCGCGGTGGCTCACGCCTGTAATCCTAGCACTCTGGGAGGCCGAGGTGGGTGGATCGCTTAAGGTCAGGAGTTCGAGACCAGCCTGAGCAAGAGCGAGACCCCATCTCTACTAAAAATAGAAAGAAATTATCTGGACAGCTAAAAATATATATATAGAAAAAATTAGCCGGGCATGGTGGTGCTACTCGGGAGGCTGAGGCAGAAGGATTGCTTGAGCCCAGGAGTTTGAGGTTGCTGTGAGCTAGGCTGACGCCACGGCACTCACTCTAGCCACGGCAACAGAGTAAGACTCTGTCTCAAAAAAAAAAAAGAAAAAAGAAATGTTGAGATGATAAAAAGGTACGTCTAAGAATTCATGCATGGTGAAAACTCTAATAGCATAGTTATCAAGTAACAGTAAGTGTCACTTACTGGACACTTGCCATATGCCAGGTATCGAGCTACATTTATTAGTTGTCTGCTCATTTGATTCCCATCCCCCCACCGCCGGTTCACTTGCTTATCTGTGTTTTCAACAGATATCCATCGAGTACTTAGCATATATCAGCTTTGTGCTGGATACTAAATGCAGGGGCCCCTCAACTCGTATTGGAGGGAACAGGGGTAGGGATTAATGTAACATCCCCTAATTTTGCGAGGAGACTTGTTCTGAGGGAGGGACCTGCATATATTGTCTGTATGACTTGCTTCATGCCTTCAAGATAATAAACAGCAGCGCTAGGATTCTGACAGCGCAGAGTCCATCGTTTCCTTGTCTCGTGTACATCTGTGATTAGAATCCTGTGTGACAGGGAGTGCAGGCCACCCTGAGGCACATTTTTGCTTAAGAGAAGGAAGAATGTTAAACAAGCCCGTGAATAGAGCAATATTATAGATGTTTATCTGCCAGGAATTTGACATCTCGAGTACACGTGTCCCATTGAAGATTTCGACACTGATTCTTGATCTTGCATTCATGGTCATGTTCAAGTAGGCATTGGGGAAACTGAAACAGTCGAATGTTTCTTCTTTACTTTTACTTATTCCTGTGGTTTTTCCCTGGAGGCAAATGATAATAATTAACATTAAGACTCCATAATATGTGAGATACTTAAATACACAAGCATATAGCATATGTATTTGTTCTCTCCTTTACTCCTTATGACAGTTCTGCAAGGCAGATGGTGTTTATCTTAGTTTTACAGATGAGGTAACTGAGGCACAGAGAGGTTAAGTCATGAGCTAGATCACACAGCTGTTTAAGATAGAGCTGAGCTTCAGACTTGAGCATGTCAGACTCCAGAGTCCATACTCTGTCCACAACATACCGTCTCCAGTTTTGCCTCTGCAGACCTGCTGACGCCTGACTATGGAGGAGTGTGTCACATCAGGAGCATGAAGTGGGCAGAGCATTTTGGGGGCGATGCAACAGTCTGGGAAGTTTGATAAGTTGCTAACATGGGTTTTCATGCTGTATCTGTATAATATCTGCATTTAAATTTGGATTGTTAGAACTTTCCACAATACCAGACATATCCATATTCAAACAGAAGGTCAAAGCACATTTGAAAACTAAAAATAATTGTTTTACATTATTATTCCCCACCTATCCCTCTATTATTACTATAATTTAATTCTTTTTTAAGAAATGTTTTCATAACTGTTGATTAATAGCTACATTATTGAAGTTCTGGCATTTGCTTGCTGAAGGTAATCACAGGTAATCACAGATGATAGGAAGAACTATAAAGAGTCCTCAGGAGCAAGAGCTGACACCCAGGGACTCAGGGAACATTTTGGATCGAAGCAGGAAATGGAGAGCCAGGAGCAGTGGTTCATGCCTATAATCCCAGTGCTTTAGGAGGCTGAGGAAGGAGGATCACTTGAGGCCAGGAGTTCCAGACCAGCCTGGGCAATATAGCTAGATCCCAACTCTACAAAAAATTTAAAAATTAGCCAGGCGTGGTGGCTTGTGCCAGCTATTCAGGAGGCTGAGGAAGGAGGATCGCTTGAGCCCCCAGGAGTTTGAGGTTGCAGTGAGCTATGATGACACCATTGGACTCTAGCCCAGGAAACAGAGCAACAGCCTATCTCTTAAAAAAAAGAAAGAGGCAGGAGAGCACTGTTTCATGGCAAGGATTTCATGATTGAGCACTACAGGAAAGGGGTTCCATGGGTTGCTTTCCAGCAGTGGGGTTTGCATGAGACAAACTGTAGTAAGATCAGACCACTGCTCCCAGCACTACGAGAGTCCTGTCATGGTGGGAAGTTAATGTCTCTTTTTGCCTGCTTCCATTCTTCGGGGATAAACTCAACAGAAGTTGGCATCCTGGGTACTGATACCTATCACAGATAGAATCAGTTTTGGGGAAGGATCTGTCCCCATTAGGTCCTGACTCTGTAAGATTGAGTATGTACAGCTAGTTTTCAGATGCTGACGATCCCTTTGTTTTGCAGGTGGAACCAAGCTCACAAATCTTCAGGAGCCAACTTTCAGGGGCTTCCATCCAAAATAGATACCCTAAAGGAAGAGATGGATGAAGCTGGAAATAAAGTAGAACAGTGCAAGGTACAAGAATTCCCTAATAAGTGTGTCCTTGCATCAATTTTTTGGTTTTTGCAAATTGTGGATGAAAGGTCAAGTATTGTAAATTATTTAATGTTTTAAATAATTCGTACCAGAATACTCTGAATGATAGTAAAGGTGGTTTTTGTTTTCAGCTTCTTTCTTTGTTTTCCAAGACTACATTATCAGAATAAAACATTAAATGAGTTCAAATAGGATATTTTTAAAAACTTGACAAAATGTCTAAGCTTTCTTGAAGATGAAGTGAAAAAAAAGAGAGAAAACCATAGTAAAACATATAAAGTTATAGCAATTAAAGCAATGCATAATAGGCACAAAAATAGATCATTGAAATAATATAGGTTTTATTGGAATGAATACTATTATATTTTAAGACTTAGTATACAATAAATGTGTCACCATATATCCATAGGGAAGGGAAGGATTTTTTTTTTAAATATTGTTAGGAAAATTGGTTTGTAATTTGGGAGAAATATAACTTTTCATCTCATAATTTAAATTTTAGATTAATTAGATGGTTAAGTGATCTTATTCTCTATGCATTTATTTATAGAGATAGGTATTCATTCCAAATTTTATATGAAGTGGTAAATTATTTGAGATGGTAAAGAAATAGGTCTTTGTTGAGTCTCAGGGTTGATTTAGACTTCCCTTCCTCTTATTATTCATCGTTTTCCAAAACTGGTTTCTTTATTTCATACTAGACAGTGTTAGGACTGTTATATTTTAGTTTCTTCAGGTCATGCTATTCTTCACTTTTCAAAATAGCAAACCTTGATCAGTTACCTGCAGAAAAATGACTGGTTTCATATAGTATAGTAATAGAAATTAAAACTAAACTCACAGAGTCATGCCTTTGTTTTAAAAAGCCTTTGTGTTTAAAAAGACGATAGTCAGATAAGTGCTTCTAATAAACTAGTGTCACACTGGCTTATTTGTGTTCAGAATAGTTGTAGCTTTGCCAATGTCAATTTCCTAGCACTTTTCTTCGTATCTGGTCTAACCTAGATCTTGGCTGTTGGCTACTTAATTATACACATTCGGGAAGTCTGGTTGGTGCATCATGGGCTGATGTCCCTTCTTGCAGTTTCCACACTTGTCAGTATTTCAAATGGTGAAAACTAAAGAAAACATTTTCTGCATCCTTTTCTCTTTATGCTACCTTCTGCATAATTTCCTTAGATCTAAGTTCTGTTTCCCTGATTCTCTCTTTAGCTATGTCTTAGCTGTTATTGAATTGATTAACATTGAGTTTTGCATTTCATTATGTTTTTCATTTCTAAAGTTCTAATTCTTCAAATATGCCTTTTTTGATAGTGCATTATTCTTTTCTAGTATTTCTTTTTTTTTTTTAATGTCTTTAATCCTTTTAAATATACTTATTTTAAAGTCTCTGGTATTTTCTGTGAGAATGGTAGGAGTTTGCTTATGGTGGATTGTTCCCTGATGTGTTTCATAATTTTGTTACCAGTCTAGGTCCATTTTAATTAAACTTTCTCAGTTTGGGGTTTCCTGGATCACATAAATAGTAAATTCAAACTTCAAACCTTCTTGAAAGCAGGTCTGTGTTTGTGAAATCTCATGGACATTGTTTTTCTTTCTCAGTAGCAGAGCCCAATCCAAAACAGACACACTTTCCTATTATTTCCATGCGATGAGGAGTGAATTTGTTCTATTCTTTCACTGAGGGTATAATTCTTCAGGAATCTTACCTTCATGCATGACATGTATGTCCTTCTTCCTCACTTCACCAGGCCCAAAGCTTCATTTTCCATCCTCTGATCCCACATGACTGCTAGACTCAAACTCTTTGGCCACCAAGATTGGCCCAGATCCACACCAAGTCATCCCCAGCTTCCATTCATGCTTAGCATTCTGGCTTTTTGTTTATCTGTTTCTTTTTTTCTTTTTTCTTTCTTCGCTTTTTCTTCTTTCTCCTCCTTTTTTTTTTGTGTGTGTGTATGTATATATGAGTGGTGGGGGTGGGGAGATCAGGGAATTTACTCTATTGCTTTCCTAGTTATTCTAAAAGAATGTTTGTTACTCCTAAGTAGCATTTCCAGGTTTTTATAACAAATGGGAGAGGCTTCACATTCATTTGTGCACCTTGATGCCAAAAACAGAAGGCAGTACATAAAAACAAATCATATACACATTTCTTCCAGTATATATAAATTTCTCTCTCTCTTTCTCTCTCTCTCTCTATATATATATAATTCCTATATATAGTAGAAGGTTGGAAATATATATCCAATTGCCTAATCAGTCACTTTTTAAAAATTTAATTTTTATGTAATTCAGTTACATTAGTTCAGATATTAAAAAGTGTAAGACAGGCCGGGCGCGGTGGCTCACGCCTGTAATCCTAGCTCTCTGGGAGGCCGAGGCGGGCGGATTGTTTGAGCTCAGGAGTTCGAAACCAGCCTGAGCAAGAGCGAGACCCCGTCTCTACTAAAAATAGAAAGAAATTAATTGGACAACTAAAAATATATAGAAAAAATTAGTCGGGCATGGTGGCGCATGCCTGTAGTCCCAGCTACTCGGGAGGCTGAGGCAGAAGGATTGCTTGAGCCCAGGAGTTTGAGGTTGCTGTGAGCTAGGATGATGCCACGGCACTCTAGCCGGGGCAACACAGTGAGACTCTGTCTCAAAAAAAAAAAGTGTAAGACAGTATACAGGAAGTCTTTCTTCTACCTTTGTCCTCTTTCTGTCTAATTTCCACTGTTCCCAACGGGTAACCACTGTTACTAATTGTTTTTTCTTCCAGACATGTTTTTATACATATACAGCAATAAAAATATGACATTTTTCTTCCCTTTTTTGTAACCAGATGGTAACATACCATGTAATGCTCCGTACTTCGCTTCTTAATAAGGTACATTAACAATATATCTTAGAGATCTTCCATGCCAATCTCATAATAAGCTTCCTTATTCTTTCGGTTGCTCCAGTTTTACCAGTCAGTTGATGGATGTTTAATCTGAGGCTGTTTCCATCACTTTTTGATCTAAGAGCTCATGGAGATTATTCTCAGATGCCATTTTCTTTCATCTCTTTTTTCTTCAATAATATATCTTCTCTTCCACTTACCCAGGATCAACTTGCAGCAGACATGTACAACTTCATGGCCAAAGAAGGGGAATATGGCAAATTTTTTGTTACGGTAAGCATCTTTCCTTGAGAGAATGTTAAACCATTGTAAAAATTGAGTCATTTTAGCTTTTTTTGCAAAAGATTGCATTTTTAGTTTTGCTCAGCCATTGTGTGTGTGTCCATCCGATGCTAACGTTACTTTTGTTTTTGAATGTGGGTCTGTTCTCAGTTATTAGAAGCCCAAGCAGATTACCATAGAAAAGCATTAGCTGTCTTAGAAAAGGCCCTTCCCGAAATGCGAGCCCATCAAGGTAATGTAACCTGCGTGCGGCTGATGCCTCCTTCTTGCCTCTGCCACTTCTGCCTGGGTTCTTCTTCAGCCTCACTCCTCTGCATGCATTTCCTCTGGATAAAGCTTCTCTGCCTAGGAGGGTACTATTTCCCAGCATAATTTCATCTTTCTTGCTACATTTTCTAATTTCTTCTAAACCCAAATTAATGTACTAATGGAGCAGTTGCAGTTCTTTTGAAACCTTCAGTTGAAGAGAAAGCTGGCCCCTTGGGGAGTGCCTATTTGTTTTGATGTCTTCAATAGGCTTGAAAAAGTCTAGCATCTAATTATCCTTTTCCAAATCAGTTATTTGTTCTACAAGGCTTAATCCTGGCCCTGTGACTCTAAGAACCTCCATGTTAGGGAAAATATTTAATACTTTTCAAAAGAGTATTTTATAAGCCAGTACTTGATACATCATCAGTCACTTAACAGGTGTGATTGAATCATGAGATCATGACCATTTCTTTCAGGCCCCTTGTTTGTCTTTACACAAGGCTCTTGTTCTTATCCCCATTAATATTTTGCCTGCCATATTCAAGCACACTGTAGATTCTACCCACAAGTTATGAGTGGACTGGACTTTCCTCACACATTTTAAGGTGGACATCTAAAACTTTTTTTCCCTCCCTAAAGCTTTTGATGCCACTTCTCTCTGATTTACCAGCAGAGATGAGCACAAGTTGTTGAGGCAGAAATTTCTTGGCCGTCATTGGATCTGTTATGCTCTTCTGCTTGTGGAGTAGACCTGACATTTGGAGCTTAGGCCCGCCCTGCAGAATCACTGGTCCTGAGCTGAGAGGGGATCAGCCCAGGTGCCGGGTGTGATGACTATGCCGTGTGAGAGTGGGCAAGTGTAGGGGTAGAGAGTGTTGTGGATGTGCACACGCTGGCACCCTAAAGAATGCCACTTCTTCCCCCCAAAGTTTCAGGAAGTCCTAACAAAGTCTGGCTTTGTGCTGGAAAATTTTTGGATTATGGAATTAGAAAATTCCATATCCTGACTGACCCCATGGCTAGGCCTTTGGTGATCTCAGGTGCAGCGTGTCCGATTTCCTCAGCCATTGGCCTTGCTTTCCTAAATGATCCAGTTTCCTGGTTCCTGGAGGATGGCGTGTAGTCAAGGTGCAAAGAAACGAAGACACTGGGCAGTGTCCCGCCTTCCCAGGGACAGACTTGCTGGGCAAGTTCAGAGCACCAAGAACATGTATTTATGAGATACCTACTGTGGGTTGGGCCCTGCATGGGACAAGAGAGTAGACATGTCACCATTTTAGCCTTTGAGTGGCTTAAAGTCCGATTTGGAAGAGTTGACTCCAACTCTCCAAGCACAAAAACGAGAAGATTGGATTTCTTGAACAGTCCTCTCCTCCCATTCTTGTTTTTTTCACCAAGGCTGTTTTCCCTAGAGAAATATGTCAGAAGGTCATAAGGAGCAGGGGGGACAGGGAAGAGTTTAAGATGGAACGAGGGGAGCTGGAGTTTGGAGGAAACAGCCAGTGAAGGAAGTGTGATCCAGCTTTCCTGCTGAGGTCACCCCTTCACTGAGCTGGGGTTAACCCCTCCCACCCCTGCCTGTCCTCCTACCTACCTCTTGCCTTAGACCTGTCTCCTCTTCCTTTGTTGTCTTGTTTTCAGGACTCAGTGTGTCCTTGCTATAGAAAAAATGCGTGACCTTCCCCCCACGCCCTTGTAGATGCTGGTCTCACATTCAAGGTCAGGTGGTGGTTATGCAGTACTTCTCTGCTCTGAACATGGCGCCCCGTTAATCTCCTTCATTTTTCTGGTAGGCTCCTCGAATGACTCCTTTCCACCTGCTGCCTGCATTTTCTTACCACCTTCCCACCCCTTGACGCTTTGCAATCTGATTTCCACCCGCAGTCGCTCTGCTATTTAAAACACACACACACACACACACACACACACACACACACACACACACACACACACACACACACACACACACACACTCTGCAATTCCTGAAGGACCAGCCACCTCTTGTCAAATCCTGGCATTTGACATGACATGGGCCATTTCTTCCTGGTTACAGTTTTTCTCATTTCACATGATTGTCTTCTTTCATTGTTAGGCCTCTGCATTCCTTCATTTCTGTCCCCACCCCAGAAGTGAGCCTTTGCTGAGGTCCAGTCCTTGCTCCTGTCTTCTCCTCCTTCCTCCCCCACTCGCTCCCTTTTCCCTGGAAATCCCTCACAGCTTTGACAGCTTTGCTTCTCGCCTGCATCTTACTCCTCGCAGCCTCCTGAGCATCAGTTCCCTTTAATAACTGGCTCTCACCTTAAACTCCATGGATCTCAAAAAGCAAGTCGATTCTCCCTGCACACCATCTGTCCCTTTCTCCCTCCTTATCCCCGATACCACCTTTCTCCAAACAATCTGGTCTGAAACCTTGGATCCTTCTCTTTCCTCTCTGCCACCCCGTCGCTGGGTTCTGTCCATTTTGCTCTTTGCTCTGCCTTCCTCTCCATTCCTTCTGGCCTACTCTGCTCCATGCTCTTACCACCTTGTGCTTGAGCTTGGGATAAGATGTAAATTCCCAGACTTAGGATCCCTGGTCTTTTCTCAGCCTGTTGCCCTCCACATGTATTTGCCCGTTTCTCAGCCTGTTTAATTCCTATCCATCTTATGAGACCGCATCCAAGCTCACTTCCTTTGAGAAGCCTTCTCTGACAACTGAAGCCAATAGTGAACGTTTTGTCTCGTGAATTGCACTAGCATTTATGGTCTACACCAGAAGTCGCAAATAGCCATATTGCATTAAAAAAATTTTTTTTTAATTAGTTGCCATCATTTAAAAACCAGGCACTTTAACATAACAATCTTGATTTCTGGCTTCTCTTGAAAGTTCAGAACATCTGGTGACACCGGGTCTGCTTTCCCACAAGGCAACATTGGTCTGGTGCTGGGGAGTGGTGGCCACCTCTCGGAGATTGCGTGCTTCCCACCACGATTCTGGCACCTGTGCTACCCATGTGGCCCCTATAGACGATTGCGTTTGCGACCCTTGTCTATACCATTGATCTGCCATGATTTAGCAAACATGTCTTGTCTTGTTACTATTCTGTGTTTACATGTATGTCTTGTATTTCCTTCACAATTTGATTATTCTCATCCTGCGGGTGGGGAGTCTCTGTGAACTTTATGTGCCTGCTGCAGTGCCGAGCACATAGTAGGTCTGTTGTTTGAGAGGCCAGCACCTAAGGTAGAATTTGCCTTGCAACTAACCTGTAGGTCAGTGATTCTCACCTGTACCCTCTGCCAACATTACACCAAGATGGGGAGTGGAGCACACTCTGTTCAGTGTTTACTAGAAAGTTCTGGCAGAGGTTTAGAGCATGCCTGCCCCTCAGCATCACAAGGCCAGGCATGTGGCTGAGGCAATGGCAGGTGTCATTTGCAGAACTCCAATGTTTCTGATGTAGCTTAGGTTATAGATGATGTGGCCATTTTTAGCCTGTGTTGAGTATCATTGAGTTAGATAAAAGAGACAGAATATTCCAGGTAAGATTTGGCCTCTGAAAGGACTGTCACAGAACTCTGTCCTCTGGGAAGGGCCAGGCCCCTCGATGCTTTCTCTGTTAGAGATTCCACTGGGATGGGGCTGGGCCAGAGATGAGGAGGGCTCCCAACAGCCCTTGGGGGTGGGGGGTGGGGCGGGTTTAGTGCCCTGTTTTCATTTTTGTCCCTGGCCTCCCTTCCCCTCTCCCATTCTTCAACCTTTACCCCACCTGCTCTTCCATCATTAACTTCCACAGGCTCTCAGGTCTACAGATTTGTGGGTGTGAGCCCTTCCTGTTGTTAGAGAGAATTAAATATTTCTCCTTGGAGTAGTTTTCGCCAACTACTTTTCCCTCTTTTGCTTCTGTGAGCTGCTCAGGCAGCAATAGGTCTCTGCAGCTCCCACAGGCAGGCCAACCCCAACAAGATACTTCTTGGTCTAATTTAATAATACCCATTTTCTCAATTCTTCTTTCCGGTTTACTGCTTTATTGTGTGTATTTCTGCTAAGCTGCCTCAGATGACCTGAAAATAATATAAACTATTGCTTTACTGCTGTCAGCACAGCCTTCAACCTAAGCTGCTTCGGGGCTGCCGATACCGCATTTTTTTCCACTCAGAATTTTTTGGGCCTATTTGGGGATGCAGCATTCTGACACACTGCATGTCGTGGAGATGTTGCATCCGACACGAGTTCACATTGACCATCTCTAGTCTTGTGTGACAAATGCTTGACTTGTGTTTGAAATTTTTGGAGATTATTTTCATTTTCACGTTGAAGGAGTCTGTTTCTTGTCCCCCTAGCTAGAAGGCCAGTGCTGCTTTGCATGGCTAGAATAATTTCAATTTCTCTTCAATGACAGCAGTATGCTCAGATGAATCCCCCGTGTTAACGAGGGTGTGGTGCACGCGCACAGCACCCTTGCAGCTTCAGCCGGGGCTGCTCACGTTGGGGGCCACGCAGACCGCTCGGGGCTTCTGTTCCACAAGTAACCACCCCAGCCTGGCTCACAGTTTGTGCTCCAGGAGACGGTAAATAACAAAAGCAAACAGAACAGAGGTATCCCCTTTTCTCAAAGCCTCAGCTACCAGTGTGCTAGAAAAGCCCCTTTGGTAGTTTGGGGGAGAAAATATCTTGGTAATGCCATGAAGTTGTTGGGTGTCTTACTGAACGATTTGCTGCTCTAGATAAGTGGGCAGAAAAGCCAGCTTTTGGGACTCCTCTGGAAGAGCACCTGAAGCGGAGTGGGCGCGAGATTGCGCTTCCCATCGAAGCCTGTGTCATGCTGCTTCTGGAGACAGGCATGAAAGAGGAGGTGAGCGGCATATCGTGGTCCTGCATGCCAAGTCTCCGTGCCTTTTCTTGTGCCCAGAGCCCCGTGCCCCCTGCCACCCCCGACTCCCCTTTCTTGCCCAGCCACTGTCGGTTTTATGTAGATCAGTGGTTTTCAGACTTTCTCATCATGACCCACATTTTCAATTGAGACCCTGCCTGTCTATAAACGAAACAAAGGTTTTACAGAACAATATTTACTTTTCCTACTTGCAGTACACTCTGGCCTTTTTTTGTCCTGTTTGTTTTCTTTTTAAAATCTGGCTGTGATTTGCGACAGTGGATTTCCTGATGCGCTAATGGGCCAGAGCTTCCATGAGCTTTAGTTTTTAACAGCAAGCATCTAAAGGAAGAATCTTAGGTTTGTGTGGTAGTATGCAATTTGGTGGGGAAGGGGAGCATTTACATGCTTTATTTCATGGGATTCTTACCCAAAAAATCCCCATGAACCAAGCAAGGCAGTTCTCATTACTCTTCTTGTATAGATAAGGAAGTTAGCACGCAGGAAGTTCACACTGGGTCAGAGCAAGTATCAAAACACAAGCCTTTTTTTTTCTTTTCAAAACTCTTTATTGAAATAAAACATACAAACAGAAAAGTGTGTATACCATAGATGAACAGCTTGATGAATTTTCGTGACTAAACCTGCCCCTATAATCAGTGCCCAGATCAAGGAACACCCTGGAAAGCCCTCCTTGTGTTTGCTTCCAGTCACTTCCCCTGCCCCCAGCTATGTGACCTCCATTTCTACTAGCCAAGGTCAGTGCTGTTCATCTGGGGCAGATTCGCTCCCTAGGAGACATTTGGCAGGGTCTGGAGACATTTTTGATCGTCACACTGGGGAGAGGAGGTTTGCCACTGGCGTCTGGTAGTACCAGGGATGCTGCTAAACACCCCATGGTGTACGGGACAGCCCCCACAGCAAGAACTATCCAGCCCAAAGTGTCAGTAGTGCTGAGATCTAGGAACCCTGCCAAGGTACATTTTCTTTAAAACTCAAGCCTTTTTAATTCCTGGTTTAATATCCTTCATACTCCTGCCTCTCTAGGGTGAGGATGGATTTCTAATAGGCACAGGTATGTGAGTGATGAGGCAGGGCAGAGCTACCACTGATTAAAAGTGGACTGCTCTCTGCCTATCACTCTGCTCGGGGTACATGCCTAGCCCTCTTCTTTCCTCCCAACAGTCCCGCGAGGCAGGCAGTATTCCCACAAGGAGGTGAGCTGAAGTTGGGGAGGAGAGTGGGGCTGCCTTCCCTCAGACCACACTGCCGCTTAGCGTAAGACTCCCAATCTGCACTTGATGCCAATGGCTTTTCGTTGTCTTTAGGGCCTTTTCCGAATTGGGGCTGGGGCCTCCAAGTTAAAGAAACTGAAAGCTGCTTTAGACTGTTCTACTTCTCACCTGGATGAGTTCTATTCAGACCCCCATGCTGTAGCAGGTGAGCTCCAAGGAGTGTCTGCAAACTGAGTCATCCTCAAAGCGGTGGGCAAGTCTCCTAATAAAATTCCTTATTATATAATGTAATGTACACACACACACACACACACACACACACACACAAGCACACACCCGTTTTCTATTCCCTTTGTTTGTTTTCCTCTATTAAGTAAAAGTGAAAGTAGATGACAATGCAAATATTTTGGAGATATACAATCATGTGCTGCGTAATGACATTTCAATCAAAGATGGACCACATATACAATGGTGGTCCCATAAAATTATAATGAAGCCAAAAAATTCTGTTGCCTAGTGATGTAGCTGTATCTTTCATAATATCTTAGTGCAATGCATTACCTTTTCCATGTTTAGATATGTTTAGATACACAAATACTTAAAATTATGTTACAGTTGCCTGTAGTATTCAGTATAGTAACATGCTGTGTAGGTTTGTAGCCTAGGAGCAACAGGCTATACCATCTAGCCTAGGTGTGTAGTCGGCTCTACCATCTAGGTTTGTGTAAGTACACTTTACGATGTTTGCATAGCAACAAAATCACCTAACGACCATTTCTGAGAACATATCCCTGTCATTAAGCAATGCATTACTGTACTTACATTTTCTTCCTTCCTTTTATCCCCAAAATCCAGATCTACCTGGAGAAATGATATCTGTTGAAAGGATGGCTTTAAAGCTAATTTTATTTTCTGATGATCTCAATACATTTTTGCAAGGTCCTAGATTTGTTTTATGAGCATTTCATTCTCTAACCACTCCTGCCAAGTTATGATTTGTTTTATATGCCATGGAAGATTACAATGGAGATAATTTCAGCTTGCAAAATAGTATGTCCTGCGATTCTCAGCCTTATCCCTTTTGATACTCAAAGAGCGTATTAATGATTTCAGGTGCTTTGAAGTCCTATTTACGGGAATTGCCTGAACCTTTGATGACTTTTAATCTGTATGAAGAATGGACACAGGTTGCAAGGTAACTTTAAAGAACACAGGATTTTGAAAGTTAAAGGAAATGATGTAATATTGTGTCCTATTTGTAAATCATTTTATTATCAGGGATTGTAAAATAACCATAAAATTGCATATTCGTTAAATAATATGTGCCCCAGTTATTTATGTTTAGAGTGAAAATATTGAGTATTGTAATTATTAGTGTAGGACGGTCACTACTTATGTATCGGTTTAAATTTGTGTGATTTATATGGATGAAGACATAGCCGTATCCACATTAATGAACTGGGTAATCTCAAGGACCCAGTACATTGAAGAAAGCCCTGTAACTGGGAACAAGTGTCACACTGATCGGTGGCAACGTGCCTGCCAAACTATGTGCAAGCTCAGCAGTGCAGTAATACAGTTGACCCTTGAACAGCATGGAGGTTGGGGCACTGACCCCCACGCAGTTGAAAATCCACATATAGCTTTTGACTCCAAAAGTTAACTATGAATACTTAACTACTAATAGCCTACTGTTGACCAGAAGCCTCACTGATAACATAAGCAATCGATTAACACATATTATGTATGTTGTATATGTTATATATGGTATTATTACAATAAAGTAAGCTAGAGAAAAGAAAATGTTATTAAGAAAATCATAAAGAAGAGAAAATGTATTTACTATTCATTAATTCATTAAGTGGAAGTAGATCATCGTAAAAGTCTTCATCTTCATCATCTTCATGTTGAGTAGGCTGAGGAGGAGGGGGAGAGAGGGGAAGGGTTGGTCTTGCTATCTCAGGGCTGGTGGTTCATTCTCACATTTTTTCAAATTGTTCCAAATCTCCCCCCAAAAAATTTCCAATATATTTATTGAAAAAAATCTGCATGTAAGTGAACCCTGTGTTGTTCAAGGGCCAATTGTGTAATGGTGACATTACTCCTAATAATAATTAATGTTTACTGAGAATTTACTATGTGCTAAGTACTGTACTTATACTAATCTTTATACCCTTTACCTCCTGTTATCCTTAATTAACATCATGAAAGTCAGATGTTGTTATCTTCATTTTGCAGATGAGGAAACTGAGGCTTGGGAAGGAATAGGGCCAAGGTAGCGGCAAGTAATGGACAGAGCTAGAATTCAGACCCAGACTTGTCTGACCCAAAAGCCATGTTCCTATTTTTTGTCCCTTTCCCTCCACCCTCAGCTTCAGTCTGTCTAGGAATAGTTGATTTTAAGCAGGAAAGCCTTATTTAAAAAGTCATAGAGGCTTCTTTTTGGTCAGCCAGCCTGCTTCCTTCTTGCCTTTTCCCTTGTGGTTTCTCTTGTTTCCTCTCCAAGGTGCCTAATTCCTCACCCCTAAGGGAAGAAGAACAAATCTCACCTCCACTCCTGTCCTCTTCCCCCATCAGTAGACAATTTCCTGTTCCCATCAGACTGGCCGTGATTAGATGTAAGCTATTTGTTCTAATCAGTTATTCTTTAGTGCCTGTGACTCCATCCCTTGTTACATTAACCAGGCATTTGCATTTGAGCTTTTCTCTGTAATTGTGGAATCAGAGACTTTGTCCCTAGTAGATGGGGAGGGTTTTAAGTTCAGAGACAAGTTTTTAGTCATTGTTGTATCCTTGGAACCCAGCCTGAGACCCAGTCTGCTGTCAGTATTGATGTTTATGCAACTGAATTAAATGGAATCCAACAATCCGTGTCAGGTAGAGGAAAGTTGTGGGCTTTCTTTTATTAGATAACCTCCCTTACTCCTCCTACCCTCAACTCTCTCTCTAAGACCCCCCAAACTCTTCCTTACGAGAAAATAAACTTGAAAAAGATGTCTGTTGGTAATTGATTCTATAGTTGAGAATGTCAACATGGGCCTCCATCCAGGTGACACATCGACTGGCCTCTAAAGCATAATTATGTTTAACCCCATCCGTAACTCTCCAGAATGCTTCAGTTCTGGAGGCTGTTTGAAGTCCAAAGCCATATTATGGAGACAACTACTAACACTCTCTTCCCTAGTAGGCAGAGTGGACCCTACTCTACAGGCTCCCCTCTACAGGCCTCTGTTTCATGTCTCTGAAAGTTTGTACATTACAACTGTTTGTACATAGCACGGGAGCTCCTCAGGAGATTGAGTCTTCGTGAGGTTCATATAAACAATATAAACAGTTATATTGGTGTTTAACTCCAAATCTGTTTATTTCCAAAATCTGGGCTGTTTTCCAACTGTGCCTTCTTTGTCAAATGGAATTAATATAGCATATTAATACAGGTATTACTGTATTAATACATGGGTATTACCTGTGTAATAACATATTACAGGTAATACGTGTTTTAATAAATCATTATGCTTAAAAATGTTTTTTCTCAGTGTGCAAGATCAAGACAAAAAACTTCAAGATTTATGGAGAACATGTCAGAAGTTACCACCACAGAATTTCGTTAACTTTAGGTATGTATGATTGTGCCACAGTGACTGTGGAGTGAAGACAGATTTAATCACCAGCAGAGATGCCGTTTTATTCAAGCATACTTGGCACATTAAAAAAACCACTTGGGAGAGTAACTTGGGGCTGCTGGGAATGGGATTCGATGTATATTAGTGTGAAGCATCGGTATCTGGTATTAATATGTAAGTTATCATTTTACTACTGCGACTGTTAGCAAAAATAAAACTCTTGTGAAAAGTTTGGGCAACTGACTATTAGGTTTGGAATCTAAATTTTCTGGTATGTAAAAAGCAAATCAATCAATAATTGTACTCTGTAATGTCTTTCATATTTGCTACCTAATTTATTTTAAATAGAGCATAAATCATAATCATCCTACTAATAAAATTTCAAGGAATAGAGATTACATGTTATTTTATGGAATAATTATGGTATTAAGAAAATTTACCATGGGACAGACTCCTAGAATTTAGCTTGTATTTTCCCTTTGATATACCAAATGTAACTTTGGGCTGGGCGCGGTGGCTCATGCCTGTAATCCTAGCTCTCTGGGAGGCTGAGGCGGGCGGATTGTTTGAGCTCAGGAGTTCGAAACCAGCCTGAGCAAGAGCGAGACCCCGTCTCTACTAAAAATAAATAAATAAATAAAACCAAACAAAGAAAATTTTCAAAGAGACCTTGGTCAAAAGCCACAAATACTTGCCAGGTGTTATAGCCGGTATGTTACCTGACCCTAAATTCAGTCTTTGGCTCTATCACTAAGGTAAGCTAAATATTTCCTTCTAATACCTCAAGTGTCAACCTTGCTTTATAAGTGAGTTGGTATTTACAACATCCCTCACTGATTAATTTAACACACCCAGCTTGGAATGGCAGATACTCTTAACCTATTCAATGTGTTATGGTGGGAATGCAGTTACAAGTTGGGATTTGGCCTTTTATTTTATTTATTTTATTCTCTGATTTTTACTAATTGTTTTTTGCATAGGGAATACATTCCCATGGTTGAAAATTCAAGAGGTACACAATAAAAAATCACTCTTCTGTTCCCATCCCCCAACCACCTATTTCTTCTCCTGAGATGCAACTAATGTATACAGTTTCTTATATATCCTCTCAGCAAGAGTTAATGCATATGTAAGCAAATACATTCATATATACATACATACATACATATTTTTTTCTTTCACCTCCCCCTTTTTAAAAACCACTGGTAGTGTATATGGTAAACATCATTCTCCCCTTCGCTTTCTTTGCTTAGCATCTTAATGTATTTGCTTAATACATGTTGGAAATTTTTCCATTTCAGTACAAAATTAATCTTTTAAGGTTGCAGAGTACTTCACTGTATGGATATACTGTAATTTATTTAGCCCCCTATTGATAGGTAGTTGGGTTCTTAATGTTTTGCATTTATACTACTGTACTTATACATAAGAGAGTGTGTCTGTATGATAAATTGGATATTTTCATAATTATAACATAAATACAAATACAGATTTCTTTAAGCAATATACCCATGCTTCTATTTTTGTATTAAAAATGTATTGACAGCCAGGCATAGTGGCTCATGCCTGTAATCCCAGAACTTTGGGAGGCCAAGGAGGAAGGATCACTTGAGGCCAGGAGTTTGAGACCAGCCAGACAACATAACCAGACCCTGTCTCTACAAAAAAAAGTTTAAAAATTAACCAGGCATGGTAGCATGTGCCTGTAATTCCAGCTACTTGGGAGGCTAAGGCAGGAGGATCACTTAAGCCCATGAATTCAAGGCAGCAGTGAGCTATGATCTTGCCACTGCACTCCATCCTAGGTGACAGAGCAAGACCCTGTCTCTAAAAAAAAAAAAATAAATATTAAGAAATGTATATATATTGAGCCCACTATTAATTACATTGTAATTTCGGGGTAGAATAGATAGGACACAAAGGAGAAATGGATTAGAAATAAACAGCAAACAGTGATGAACCATTGAGATTTACATTTGAGCTATTTTCTTCTTCCAAGCCCTAATTAGTCTGTTCTCTGAAACAAAGGACACAAGAAATTTGTGAAATGCTTTATCTGAGCCAGATTCTGATTTAGGAACACTCTGCAGCTAGTACCTGAGCAACCTTGAGACTGAGCACCTGGGCAGTAAGAACATTCCTGCAAATATTTCAGAGAAGATGCTCCTCCGCCTTTTCTTTTATTCCATAGGTATTTAATCAAGTTCCTCGCAAAGCTTGCTCAGACCAGTGACGTTAATAAAATGACTCCCAGCAACATCGCGATTGTGTTAGGCCCTAACTTGTTATGGGCCAAAAATGAAGGGTAAGTAATCTTTCCCCATATCATGTTATTTTAACTTCTTCTTTCCACCTGATGATATGAGTAGAAATATAACTCAAGCTACACATCCTAGATTAAGATGTACCTCAGGACCATCTGAAGTTTATTTTTTCCATTCAGCCAGCATTCTCAGGACACACCCGTGAGCTGGGTGCCGCCCAGATGCTGGCCACATGGCAGATGTAAGAGAGATTGTTCCAGTGCTCAGAGAGCCCCTGCTCTTGAGCTGTCCGGCAGCGCAGTGGCTATAGTACAGTGATAAAATACACACACACATCTCTGTGTGTGCATATGATACCGTAGTGAGGGCAAAATTTTACATCTACCGTCTTAGGATGTCTGGCTGGGCCTGAAAATTAAATTGACATAAGCTAGATTAACAGGAGAAAAGCATACAAGTTTTTACACGTACCTGGGAGCCTCCATAGGAAAATGAAGACCCAAAGAAGCAGTTGGAGCTGATTGCTCCTATGCTAAGTTGGACAAAAAGTAATAAATTGTGAAAACGTGACAAGACGAAGGGGCTTGGGCTGGGGCAGTTAATTGTAAGTGTCTAGACAGTTAAGGATTAGTTAACAAGGTTTGTTGGTACAGATTTCCCTTGGCCTTGACTCCCCGTCTTTGGTGATAATGTTTCTTTACTCCCGGTATAGGGAGGGCATTTTTCACACGGGAGTTTATCTCCTGCTTTCAGGAAGAAAAAGGAAGGTCAGAGCACCCTTCTTGCGTCTGCTGTTTTTCAAGTGCCTTTAACTCAAAATAATCCTTATGCCAAAGGGACATATTTTGGGGTGGCATATTTTGCCACCCTTTGTATCACAGACATTATAAAGTATGATGGCAACACAGAAGAAGGAACATAATTCAGGTTGAAAAATTCAGGGAAAGCTCTGGTTGGGAAATGGCACTTGAGCTGTACCTTGATGAAGTAATAGTTTCCTACAGCTGGGATCTAGATGGGCAGTGCATTGCAGCATGAAAGGGCCTGGTTTCCAGCATTGAGGGGTATGTCACGTGGCCTTGTATAACTTGAAGATGGGGAACATTAGGCCGTGGCTGGGTAAGCCAGAGCCAGTTATGAAGGGCCTCACACATCTTGCTGATGTGTTTAGAACTTATTTTCCAAGTCATGGGAAGTCATCAAGGTTCCTAAGCAGAAGAGTGAATTGTATTTGGAAAGATAATTTTGTTGGCATTGAGAAATATAGATTGAATAGAGAACAGGGTTCAGGGAAATCTCCTGGGGAATCGCCACTCTGTTGGTGGCTTAATGCTGGTCTCATTTGGTCCTCACAAATGACCTTTCTAAGCAGGTACAGTTGTCCTCACTTTTGCAGACGAGGACACTGAGTCTTAGAAAGGACAAGTAATTGGCTTAAGATGGCAGAGCAGGGAAGTGGTGGAGCCCAGGTGCTGACTACAGAGCCTGTGTCCTTAACCATCACCCTTCCCTGCCTTCTGTTACTGCTGGTCAGCTTCGTAAAATCATGAACCATTCACGTTTCCGTTAAAAGAGAAATGACCCTTTTGAATCACAGTCTTTCATTCATTCATTCACTCACTCATGATTACTTACAAAGATCTAATATCATAAAGCAAAATTAAAGGTAAGTAGATACATGAAATTAACTACATATGTCATATAGCAAATAAATTCCAGATAGACTAAAAGATTAAACATAAAAAGTGATGCCATGAACATGGTAGGTAAATACTTGTTAGCTTTTGGGATAGAGAAGAATCTTCTAAGCATAAAAACATAGGAAATGGTAATTTAAAATTGATAGGTTTGACTCTACAACAGCTAGAAACTTATATATATGCAGAAGGCACCTTAAACAAAAGGCAGTTCACAAACTAGGAAAGAGTTCTTCCAAAAATATCGAGAATAAACGAAAAGGTCTTGCAAATCAATAGACAAACGATATCACTTCAAAAAGAAAAATTGGAAAAGGACATGAGAGGACTATTTCTCCCAGTCCAGCAGGGTTCTAAGGCGCAAAGACTGACCAGAATTCAGATCAGAGGAAGGATGTGAAGGATAATTTGCAGGCAGAGCTTGCATTTTTAAGCTGGAATTTGAAAGGCACTAGAACTGTTTGGTTGGAAAATGGGGTGAAAACGTTCTGGTGGGAAGTGAGGTCAGAGTGATAATAGAAAAGAAGGGATAGGTTTGAGGCAGTCAGATCTGAGATCAAGCTTCTTGGGAATACAGTGTCCTCATGTATAAAATAGGCCTCAAAACAGGTTGTCATAAAAATTAAATGAGGGGAAGAACCCGAAGCATGGTAGGTGCTCAGTAAATAGCAGGCCTTTTGCAGGCTTTTATGGTGTTCTGGCTCCCAACTGGAATATGAGCTTGGCAGCAGGGAAATGGTTCTTACTTATTTTCTTCCTTTTGAGCCCTGGCATCAATCACTTTTAACTTCTGCACACTCATCTTGGGAGCAGTCCATATATATGATGACCTTAAATGTGAATATGGGCGCTCAGGTTTTCTGGTATAAGAGACACACTGCAACAATGCATGCTCCTAGTGACATTACCAGCACAATTGGTTTTTGGTGATCTGGGATCTTAGAAGATAGTTACAATGTGTGCTACTGTTCCAGTGGAGAAGTGCAACCCTTGTTCCAAACCAGTTTAAAAGCAGCATTTGACACATTGTTGAAGCCAGACACGGTGGCTCACACCTGTAATCCTAGCAATTCAGCAGGCTGAAGTGGGGGGCGGGGAATTGCTTGAGGCCAAGAGTTGCTTGAGGCCAGCCTGAGCAACATAGTAAGACCTCCATCTCTACAAAAAATAAAAAAAAATGACCCAGGTGTGGTGGCAAGTTCCTGCAGTCCCAGCTACTTGGGAGGCTGAGGCAAGAAGATCACTTGAGCCCAGGAATTTGAGGTTACAGTGAGCTATGATCACACCACTGTACTCCAGCCTAGGCAACAGAGCAAGACCCTGTCTCTGGGGGAAAAAACAAAAACATAAAAAAGATACGCCACCATTGTTTACTGGCCTAACTGCTCACAGGGGCTGTGGACCATGGCCACTGTGGTTGCTATCACATTGCAGTCTAAGGAGTGACAGCAGAGTCAGGTTAATTTTTCTCCCTGGGTGATCACTGCTACACTCATAGGCCAGGACCTTGTGAATTTGATTTTTGCATCTGTGTTTAAATATTTTATCCTTTAAAAATAATTGAATTGCCCCAATAAAACCAGCAGAAATTAGAGGCTGCCTGGGGAAATATTTAATTTTGTGAATGTCCTTTGCAGAACGCTTGCGGAAATGGCAGCAGCCACATCTGTCCACGTGGTTGCGGTGATTGAACCCATCATTCAGCATGCCGACTGGTTCTTTCCTGAAGGTAATTATCATTTCAATTTCATTGACTGTCAAAGCAATACAATAATAGTATAAAAAATCTTCTTGTAATCTCAGCTGTTCAGGAGACTGAGGTGGGAGGATCTCTTGAGGCCATGAGTTTGAGACTAGCCTGGGCAACATAGCAAGACCCCATCTCTAAAAAAATTTTTAAAAAATATTAGCCATGCATGGTGGCACACGCGTGTAGTCCCAGCTACTCGGGAGGCTAAGGCAGGAGGATTGCTTGAGCCTAGGAGTTTGAGGCTGCCTTGAGCTATGATCATGCCACTACACTCTAGCCTGGGTGACAAAGTACAACCCCATTTCTATAAAAAAAAAAAAAAAGTTTCCTTAAAGAAGAAAGTACATCAGTAATCCCTTCATTATTACATAATTTTTTTCACTTTGTCATATTTCTTTCCAGACTTTGTTCATTTGCGTTCATATTTGGACATAATGATAATCATATCATTTTATATTTCATTTAGTTTCAACTAAAACATATTCAGCCAATGTACATTGAATACTCACTAGGTGCTATATGTTTGCTGGTGAGACCTACAGTCTTCCTTGGAGGAACTGGGGCCACCAGATGAGACAGCCACATAAACAGAAAAATTATAGCATATGGCAGCTTAGAAAGATAGGTAGATGGAGAAAGATTTGACAAACTCTGAGACTAGGCAAAGGGAGCCAGGGATTGCTTTATAGAGGAGGTGACATTGAATATGCAGGAGTTTTCCACATGGAAGAGGGCTTTTTGTTTCTCTAGCTAGATTTTGGATTTGTGCAAAGATGGAAGACAAAGCAGGAAAGGTCAACTGGGACCAGTTAGTGAAGGTCTGAGGTGGCCATGTTGGAGAATTAGAATTTCATCCTGTAGGCAGTAGATTTTCAAACTATGCTTGTTGCGGTCCGGGTATCCACAGAGCTTCCCGTGGCCTCCTGTAGTGGTACTGGTTGGGTAAGTGTTGGGAGTCTGGACTTCCCCCAGAGCAGCCCTGCTGGGGCATCCACGGGAGCATAAGCCCCATGAGGCCAGGCTGGGCTCATCTGTGCTTTACCACTGTCTTCCCATCAAGAACCACACCTCCCTCGTGAAGGCTGCTGAACGAAGATGTGATAGATGAGTGATTACTAGCATTCTGCCCAAGATTTCCATAAAGGAAACGATTCTTACAAAAACTGCCATAGGGAGTATGGACTTGATGTTGCCTTTTATTTCTATTTTATGAGTGTAAATATCTCTCACTTTTTTAAGAATTCAGATAAGTAATCTATGCTCATTGTCCTCTTCTGTGTTACAGGTGTTTTTTTTCCCCCCCACTAAAGAGAAAGCAGAAGGGTTGTGTAACTTGTATTTTGAATCATACCTTCTCCCCTCTCTCTCGTTCTATTATGTTACCTCCCACTGGTTTGATAGACCATCCTTACAGCGAGAGTGCCAGGGACTTCCACTTGTGAAGTACGGGGGCTTGCGGACTGAAGAGTGAGGTTCCTGTTCCAGTGGGGGGCGTGTCTTACAGCTCCCTTGACCCCTGCATTCTATGTCTCATGCACTTATTTTTCCTCTTGCAGAGGTGGAATTTAACGTATCAGAAGCGTTTGTACCTCTCACCACCCCAAATTCTAATCACTCATCCCACACTGGAAACGACTCTGACTCGGGGACCTTGGAGAGGAAGCGGCCCGCCAGCATGGCGGTGATGGAAGGGGACTTGGTGAAGAAGGAGAGGTGTGTTTAGACTGTTCACCTCCAAACCCAAAATAGATACCACGCAGGAGACTTGTTAGACCCGAGGTATCTGGTACTGGCTCAGTGGACTTGGCATTTGAGAGTGGCCCTCAATGCACCCATGACTGATAGAATCCAGACAGTTTCAGGAATTCTGCTGTAGGTTGCTCCAAGCATTAATCTGACCGTAAAGCAGGTGTGCAGCTTCTCCCTTAACATTCGTAGTCAAGCTTAACTTGATGGTCTGTGGTAAGCCCTACAGTGGAATGGCATCATACACATGTCGTAATACAAATGCACCTAAATGTACTTGATTAGGGGGAAAAGAGGAAAAGGGGAAAAAAGGTAAATAGTGGTAATTAAGAGTAATTAAGAGTATTTGTGACTTTTGCCTTTTGATGCCAACCTATCCAACGTGTATGATGAAACGCCACTGTATTCACCTGCGCTGCTCAGAGTTAAGAGGCCTGTTCAAAGTAACATGCTTTTCTTGAGTGTATGTAATATTTCTAGAAATAGTTTTACATTCAAACTAAATGATAAGCTCTTATTTTGGTCGCCCAGTCTTATAATGAGGTGTGTTTTTTGTTTGTTTGTTTTGCTTTGTTTGGATTTTTTTTACCCATAGCAAAGGAAAATGCTTTACTTTCCTATTTTATCACTCTGAAATCCACATTTATTCTGTGCAGAAGTTTTACTCATCTGAACGCTCATTCACACATTTGGTAGTGTTTCCTGATGACAAGTTCTATCCATAACAAAATTAGCTTTCACATATTTTAAGTTATAAAGTGCAGTGCTGAGTCTAGTTAGCACATGACAGACAATTCTCAGTTATCTGCCTGGTGGATCCTCCCTGCCAGCTGCTACAGCATACATAAGATCAGAGAGCCATTGTATCATTTTATTTTTTGAACTGAAAAAAGTTTCCAAGTCCATGCACCATTCGGCTTAGTGAAAACTAAGTCTTCCTTCTACTCTATCCCCCAGTCACCATCCCCTCCCCAAAAGCAACTATTTTTTCTAGTCTTGTATATTTTTCAGATGTATTCTTTGCACATACATATTATGGATATTTCTACACTTCATCTAATTAAGAGGCAGTGTAGTGTGATTACCTTATACTGCCACTGATAGGCCTTTTAAACTTGGCTTCAGCCTCATTTCTCAAACACAGTTTTGAGATGGGTATTAGGTAGTAGGGAAATAAACACATTAACACGATGTCACTCGAGATGAGGCCTGCTGTTTGCTTTCAGCTGCTCACACCCAGATTGATCAAAGATACTGATCAGTACCAGGTTTGTTGGCTTTGTTCAGGTTTAAAGCCAAGTGGAGTTGCTTGCCTTGGTAATAGGGATGACCATTAGTGTGGTCCTTGCCGCTTCCTTGCATGCTGGGCAACTTGGGTGGCTGTCCCTATGTGTGGTTTTAACACATGTGGACTGATGGGCTTCTGTCTCAGTAGTCAGCTCGCATGGTGTGTTGACTGTTTCTTCTTTCTGTGTAGCTTTGGTGTGAAGCTTATGGACTTCCAGGCCCACCGGCGGGGTGGCACCCTAAATAGAAAGCATATATCCCCTGCTTTCCAGCCGCCACTCCCGCCCACAGATGGCAGCACCTTGGCGCCAGCAGGCCCAGAGCCCCCTCCCCAGAGCTCTAGGGCTGAAAGCAGCTCTGGGGGTGGGACTGTCCCCTCCTCTGCGGGCATACTGGAGCAGGGGCCAAGCCCAAGCGATGGCAGGTAAGAAGGCTGACTTTTGCTGGCAGTGGAGGCTGGATGCCCCAGCCTTCTTGCAGGTGGTGGCCTTTGGGCATGGCATCTACGCCCAAAGAATCACCCCAGCGTGGAGTGAGCCAGATTGGCTTTCACTCCTCCAATGGGCAAAGGACGGGAAAAAAAAGATTGCAAATTGCTTGCTTCCTTTTCTGTTGTCAAAAGAAAGCAACGTTTGTTTGCATTCTTTGCCATACTGCTTTGGTGCTGGAAACTGGAAGCCGATACATGTCTAGCAGTATGACAAACCTCTCTTACCTGTTTGATGTGTACTGTCAGCATTCATGTACCATTTGCTTGTTGTCATCCAGTGTGCTAACTGGTAAGCATTTGAATGTAGCAAGTTAGTTAGATGTTAGTATTCCTGGCATTCATTCATTCATTCACTCACTCATTCACTAAGTCATTCAATCAAACAGATGTACTGAGTAACTGGTATGTGCCAGGCACTGTACTAGGCACACGGGGTGACTATGACTCCAGCCTCCTCACCCCAGCTTCCATCTTGTCGGAGAGTTGACACATGAATCCAAGGTAGAAGATAAGATGGTAGATTTTGTTAAAAGACTCTTTTAGTTGTTTAACCTTTTGATAAGCCACCTGGAGTGGGATGCAAACATATAGCAACTTTGAACAAAAGAAACCTTAAACTTGAGATTTTTATTTAATTGGCATTAACTCAGTTCTGCACACTGATCTGGGCACATGACCACCAGAGGCCACTTCAGGTGGTCTCTTTCATGGTTTGGAACTGACAGCTGCTGTAAAAGATGAGCCCTGCGACAGAGTGTGTGCTAGAATTTTTATCGTCATTTTCTCTGCTTTGACTACGACACACTGAATGATCATATATAAAATAAATGTGCATGAAACAAGGACAGCCTGTTTAGCCCCCCTGAATTTGCCTTGGGAGAACTCCCTCCTCTCATCTTCTCTGGGATGGGTGAGGGAGAGCCTTGCAGTGTGTGAAGTTGCGTATGAGATGGGAATCTTGTTCAGTCATCCCACTGAGCTCTGACTGCTTTATGCATCCCTGAATTCCTTTTTAGTCACATAACTTGGGAAAGTTCACTCTGTGGTTAAGAAAAATGAAGGCTTCACACTTCACGGGGCTTTATACCTACATGATAAGCTCCATGTTGGTTTGTCAGTAACGCTGCCCCATGCACATGTTTGTTCTGGTTTAAATTTTTTTGAGAAAAAAAGTATAAGCAAATTCATACATTTTCATTTCCCCATGACATTCAGTTTGTTTAATCAAGGCTAAATATATCGTTTAAGACAACAATTAGTCTTCACTGCAGAAGGACAAATGGAATGCCAGTCATCAGTTTGCTCTTTGTTTTTTTATGATATTTTATAGATGTTTTTGTGTGCATTTCACTAATGGCATTCACTCTTTGGTGACCTTGATAAAATGTAGCTGTAACGTATGGTATAAAAAGTTCTAGGCCAGGAATTAGCCTGAGTTCTGATCTCTGCCCCGCTACTGCCAACTCTGGACTTGGAGTAATCATTTAGCCTCTCAGAGTTTCTCTTTCCTCAAGTCCAAATTATTGATAATAACTCACACACTTTAAAATTTAGAGTATTGTTTGCCACAGCTTTTGCTTAGTTTTGTCCAATGCATATGTCAACATCCAAAAGCCCTTTCTTATTATTAAATAATGTCCATTTTAAGTACAAGCACAGTAGAACTTGAAATTTCTTATCGGTTGCTTTCAAAGGGTCTCCATCATGATATTGAAGTGGCAGAATAGAGGCCAGTCTAATGCAATAAATCTCATAAAATAAGTAGTCGTATGTGACACCAAGTAAACATTAGCTTTAACAGGCCCAGTGTGAACTATTGAAAATTTCAGATCATCTCCTTCCTTGTCTGCTGAAGTGAAAACTACACTTGGAATCTTATAGTTTACAGTATAGTACGTTTAGCTTTTCTATTAATAGCTGGGAGTGTCTGACATCTAACTTGACTTTTATTCCTCTTAGTCCTCCCAAGCCCAAGGACTCTGTATCTGCAGCTGCACCTACAGCTGCACCGGGGAGAAACAGCAGTCAGATGACCACTGGCCAAACGCAGACCCAGGCAGCTGCCAGCTCCCACCAGCTCTCAGCTGGCCCAGCTCATAATGCCGCCGGGCCTAGCCCTCATACTCTGCGCCGAGGTAAGTAGCCACCCTTCCTTCTTGTCCTTGGGGAAGGATGTGCAAAGCTCCTTGAGTTTATGCAAAGATTCAAGTTGTGAGGCTTTCAGGCAGATCTTTTCCATGTCTGTTATAAAATGGCAAGTAGGAAAATCAGTCATTAAAGAGAAAAATAATTAAAGAGAAAGGAAAAAATAGAGAACAGAAAAGCAGACATTTAAGAATGTGTTTTTTCTTAGGAGCTACAAAGCTTAACAAACAAAAAGTCACTTCTCCAAAAACACTCCCAGTTTTCCAGGAGTCTGGTGCTCCAAGCCATCGCTCCATTTGGGAACCCCCAGAATCTCTGTACTAACCCGGTTTTGTGGGTCTAGGAGCCACTGTACCCTCTGAATTGGGGTCAGGGCTTTCTGGGTCCAGATTAACATAATCTGAATTACTCCCACCTGTCTCCCCTGTAGTCCTCCACCCAACAACCAGGGAAATTGCTCTAAAACCCCAAGCAGATCATGTCATCTCTTACTTGAAACTTTCCAGTAGCTTCCATGCAAACCTCCCACCCTGGACCCTCTGTGGTCTGGCAAGAGGCTGCTTCTGAGCCCAGCTGTTACACTCTCCCCTCTTTCATTGCACTCTGCTCTCTGTTCCTCAGATGCACTAAGCTCATTCCCTCCTTAAGGCTTCAGTACTTGTTTTCTCTTCCAGAACATTCTGTCCTATATCTTTACACAGTTCCTTCTTATCATTCAGGACTCAGCTCAAAGGTCACTTACTCCGTGAGTGCCCTCTCCCAACCACCACCCATTCTGAACTGGTGACCATCCCCATTCCCACCACACACACAAGTCATTCTCCAGCATGTCACTCTCTTTCTTTCAGAGCGTTTTTCTGAATCTGAAATTTTTTGTTTTTTCTGCTTATTGCCAGCGTCACCAAGTAGCTCTTAGTGAGCTGGGATCTTACCTATCTCATGCACCCCAAAATTCCTAGCCCTTGTCCCATGCCTGTCACAGAGGGGGCACTCCATAAATAGTTGTGGGTCTGGGATCTCTAAGTGCCTCTTAGGTCTAGAAAAACTGGAGGTGATTTTGCCCCCACCCTTACCCTGGAATATTTGGTAATGGCTGGAGACATTTTTGTTTGTCACAAATGGGGAGAAGGGTACTGTTGGCATCTAGTGGCATGTAATGAGTAAACATCCTGTAATACATGCATAGCCTCCCACAACAGAGTGAACTGACCTAAAATGTCACTAGTGCCGAGACTGGGAAACTGGTCTAAAAAGGCACATGATTCAATAAAGATGTTGGAGCCAGTTAAATTCCATATGAACCAGGGAGCCCTGTGTGTTAACTCCTAACTGTATTTACTGGAGTCTGGATGAGCCTCACACAAGTGACTTGTTTCAGGTAGCTCAAGAAACAGGTGAATTTATTATAGCAAGTGCAGTTTGCATATAGTGAAGAACATATTTCTGAGTCCACATTCTTTTTATCTTCTTTGCAACCAGGACAGGAAAATAAATAGCAGTTTTGCCATTGAAAAGCCTGAAATTTTAGTTGAAATGATTAAATTATAGACATGATGAATCCTTAGAGAAAAAATTCTAAGGCTGCCCATGTAACCAGGTATATAATAATACTACATAGACTGTTTACACAGGTGCTAAGGGAATTCAAGGTGATACATAGGCTGACCCTTATGGAGAGAGGCAGGTAAATAGAGAAGGACTGAGAGGGGATCCCACCAGAGGGCGACGTGAGCAACAGCGTTGTACAGGGAAGTCGCATCTCTTACTCTAGGGTCAGGACCTTACATGACAAAAATCCCACATGAACAGGATGACTCTTGGAAATCTCTGTGACGGTGCCCATTGGAGGCTCAATAAACCCAGTGGAACTCGGTTTTTTCCCCTTAACAGAGCTGAGTTCTTCAGTTGTTGACTTGAGTGTAGGGGCAGTGTTGTACTAAAAAAAATTGTGTGTATTTAGTGAGAATCATGGTCAATATGGGAGATGCTCACACTCGGAGAGACGTGTGGGCTGCAGCCAGCCCAGAGAGCGGCAGCCAACGGCCCCATCTCCTCACTTACCACGTGGGGACCTCTCACCTTCTCTTTTTGGCCAAGCTCCTGTCTCACCTGTAAATGAATTCTCTACCTGTAAACGCAGGTCTTTGGTAACTGCACCGTCATGGGCAATAGCAAGGACACCAGTCTGACTGCCTGCAGGGAGCACTCCTGAGCTCTAGGGAGAAGCAAAGGTGGACAGGCCAGGAAGGGCAGAGATGGGTGCCCTGCAAAACCAGGGTGGGCACTGGGACAGTTTTCAGGAGGTTAACCTGGCTGAGGTGCAGGTTGAATGGTGCAGAGTGATGGGCCCCCCTAGGATGGTGGTGGTGCCCCAGGAGGGCTGGGTGGGGCAGTGCTGGCTGTAGTGAGAGGCAGTTGTGATCAAGGGAAAGGGCTCTGCACTCAAGTTTGAGTTCTCGCTTTTCCCTAAATTCATGGAACTGGTTAAATGCCACTAAGTTGACCTTTCCTAACGTAATTCCTACATATGTGCAGTAAAAAGAAAAATACCTACTTAGGGGGGATTGTGAGAATGAAATTGGATATGTCTGTCTATGAAAGCTTCCCAGCACCTCTTAGGTGGTCTTAGGCCCCCTCGCACTGTCTCACTGCTCCCGTGCTTCCTCTCCCAATTCCCTCTGAATTTACGACTAATATTGCTTAGAACAGAAAACTAGACATTTTTCTAAAAAGTTGGTGATGGCAACCAGAGTACAGCTGATACTCCAAAGCTCCCTTCCTTTGTAAGCTGTGGGGGAAGGTCTTCTGAGTTCCAGGGTTGAAAGTTCTAGGCCACTATAGCAAAGCAGACTTTGCCCTTTTTAATCCTGAATTCTGGTTCCTGTGAACAAGAAGCAAGGCAGTATAGGAAAGTGGAAGAGGAAAGAGTCCAGGGAGTCCTCAGGACATGGGTGTGAGGCTTTTTCTGCCACTTACTAGCTGTGTGACCTTTTATAAAACACTTGCCTTCTCTGAGCCTCAGTTTTCTCCACTGTGAAATGGGTATAACAGTGCCTGTCCTACAGTGAGCTCATGAGACTTAAATAGGCCCTAACTTGCTACTGGTGATATGTGAACAGTGATACATGTTTGCTTCTTTCCTTCATTTCCTTCTCCCTCTCTTGGAGCATCAGTAGGACCTCAGCAAAATTTGAAAAAGGCTCAAGTCTCTCCTCTCTACCCACCACTTTCAGCCCAAAACCAGGTCTCCAGATCTGTTGTTTTCTATCCTTCCCTCCTCAGTACCACATTCTGAGCCCTGTTCTCAGCTGGTGTAGGAAGGAGAGTGATGTGATTCAGCCGTCATTGGAGAAATACTTCTAAGACAACTCTACCAGATTTATTTGTACTTTTATCCAGAACGTATCTATGGACACAAATGATTCTAGAATTGGTAGAATTTCTGTTATTAAAAAAAAAAAAAAAATCAAACCCTCTGGGAGAAGGTAGCTTGGGGCAAGGGGCCAGGGTGTGTCGGTGTAAAACGGTCGTGCGTGGGGGCCGGTCCCTCCCAGCTGCTCTCGCATCTCTGTTTCTTCCCACGCTCTAAGGTCATGAGCGAGGGGCCCTGACAAGTGGCTGCTGAGTGGGCTCAGGGCAGTGCTGCCCTGTTGGTGGGGCAGCCTCTGGTAACTGACTTTTCTTCTTATCGAACTTTAAAATGATAGGCCATTAAAGGCCTCTATGTGTATAATGTACTTAATTTTTAAAATAAGCTTGTTTTGGAATAACTTTAGACTTACAGAAAAGTTGCAAAGGTAATACTAGACTTCCCATACACACTTCACCCCGTTTCCCCTGTTGTTAATATCTTACCTCACCATGGTGCATTTATCACAGCTGAGAAACCAACAGTGGTACATCACTGTTAACTAATGTCCGTATTTTGTTCAGATTTCCCTAGTTTTTCCACTGATGCCTATTTTCTGTTCCAGGGTCCCATCCAGGAGACCACATTGCATGTAGTCATATCTCCTTAGTCGTCTCCTCTGGTCTGTGACAGTTTCTCAGTCTTGCCTTGTTTTTTCATGGCCTTGATGGTGTTGGGGAGTACTGGTCAGGCTTTTCGAAGAAAGTCCCTCAATTTGCATTTGTCAGATGTCCTTCTGATGGTTGGCCTGGGGCTATAGTTTTAGGGGAGGAAGAAATAAGAATGAGATGCCTCCTGACCACATGCCATCAGGGGTACGTGATGTCAACATGGCTTATTACTGGTGAGGTTGACCTTGGGCTCCTGGCCAAGGTGACGTTGATGGCTTGTTCTTTCTAAAAGGTGTTTCTCTCTCTTGGTGCAGCTGTTAAAAAACCTGCTCCGGCACCCCCGAAACCAGGAAACCCACCTCCTGGCCATCCTGGGGGCCAGAGTTCTCCAGGAACATCTCAGCAGCCACCCAGTCTGTCACCAAAGCCGTCCACCCGAAGCCCCTCTCCTCCCACCCAGCACCCAGGCCAGACTCCAGGCCAGCCCTCAGCCCCCTCCCAGCTCTCTGCGCCCCGGAGGTACTCCAGCAGCCTGTCTCCAATCCAAGCTCCCAGTCACCCGCCGCCGCAGCCCCCGACCCAGGCCACGCCGCTGATGCACACCAAACCCGGTAGCCAAGGCCCTGCCACCCCCATGGCCTTGCCCAGTGAGCACGGACTTGAGCAGCCATCTCACACCCCTCCCCAGACTCCAACGCCCCCCAGTACTCCACCCCTAGGAAAACAGAACCCGGGCCTGCCAGCCTCTCAGACCCAGGCGGTGAGTAATCCTGAGACGGCGCAGCCACATACTGGAACCTTACCGAGACCGAGACCAGTACCAAAGCCAAGGAACCGACCCAGCATGCCCCCACCCCCCCATCCTCCTGGTGCCCACGCAGCTGGGGATGGCAACCTGACCAACACCGCACCGACAGCTTCCAAAATAGTAACGGGTAAGTAGGAAATCAGGCCAGTACTTCCCCATCTGCTCCGCATTGCTTTTGTACTACTCCCCTTCATTTAGGCTTTGATTGGTAGGAGGGGTCAGCAGACTACACCTGCAGGCCCTAACTAAGGTATTATCGGAACACAGCCACGCCCACTTGTTTACATATCGTCCATGGCTGCTTTGGTGCTAAAACAGCAGAGTTGAGTAGTCTCAGCAGAGATCATATGGCCCGCAAAGCTGAAAATATTTGCTACCTGGCCCTTTAAGTTTGCTGACCCCTGATTTATGGTTGCATTATATGTTTGAGACCTATCTGCACTTACATTTTCCTGAGTATAATGACTTTTAATCCAGATGGAAAGTATTGTACAACATGAGCATAAAATTCATTTCTTAGCGCCTGCCTCATTAAAAATGCTTGTTTTCCTTCTAAGAGTAAAAATGTTCATAGTAAGTCAAGAATTTCAGGTATAACTTCAAAAAACACAATTTATGCCAAATTGGATGCTCTGGGTATGGAGATCTCAGGACATGAGCATATCAGAGTGCTAGCCCACAATGGCGTGGGAGGAAAGTCAAGATTTTCCTGCAATCCCAGTGGAAACCTGTTTTGGAGTGGCGGTGATTATACAGATTTTGGTGGGCTACCTAATGGGACATTGTTTTATAGGCAATCTAGAACATGACCATTTTATTTAATTATGAGTTTTAAAAGATTTCCATCCCAAATGCTCTAATTTACTATTTAAGGATGGATAGGGTTTTTTTTTCTAGTGTATTTTTTAAAAACAATAATTAGGAGCCTCAAATCATTTCTTATAGCAGCCTAATTTAAAATTGTTCTAAGTGGAGGCTTTTTTAGAAAAGAAGCTGAACTGCACCTGTGGGCTCTCCAGCCGTCTTAAGTGACTTAGCAGCTGAACCTGAGCCAAGGGTATACCCAACACTGGTATCCCAAATGATGAGGGTTACCTCTGAAAAATATCTTTTGATAACTTTTTTTCAGGAATACAATGCATAATTTGCAAATGTTATAACGACTTTGTTCTGATGATGCCAGAGCTTTTAATTTTGAAAACAACAAAGCCACATTGGTTTGTCTGTTTGTTTGTTTCCCAATAGATGCCCTTCCTACTGCCCTCACAGGTGGGGAAGGTTTCCGGGACTAAGGTCTGTAGCCCCCACGCAGCCCGTGCTGCCGCTCCAACGCGCCTGCTTAGCCGTGTTCCGCATATGTGCTTATTTTTGCCTTTGTGCTTGGGAGCAGCCATCTGACCCCGGGCCGTGGCAGTCAATGGGCCAGCCATTCTGTAGCATGTAGACATCCCTTTTGTTTTCATCAGAAGCACTTTGAGCTGAAATGCTCTGAATTCAAGAGGTAGATGTCAGTAGACTGAGAGCCTCATTTCAAGCCACTCAGATAGGATACTAAGAATATCTTCTTTCTTTTTGGTAAGCCTCTCCCCTGCGTTCTGCTCTTCCCAACGTGATTGACCTGTCATTGATTGGCTCATCAGCATCCAACAAATGAGGACTCGGGTGCAGTCAGCACTGAACATTGTGTCCTTTGTGTCTTGAGCTTTAATTTTTAATTTTTGTATCTTAAGTGCAAGTTAACTGCATGGAGCTTCTTAATTCGATATTTAAAATTCTCAGGACGCCCCCCCCAAAATCTTTCCCCAGAGATCCTACACTGAATTCTTTTAAATTCCTTTGTATTCTAGCATGCTTACATTTGCTTTCTTAAACCATACGAGCTTTTTAAAAGGCGCTGTGAGCTCACCTCAGTCTGCCTTTGGGTTCACATTTGGGTGGCATAAGGCTCTCATGTGTACAGTTAACTTCATCAGCTGATTCGAGCCTTAGGTCTTTTGTGGGCTCCTTAGCCAGAGTGTTCACAGCTTTGGTATGAGTAAGAAGGGAAAAACCAGAGCGCAACCTTTAAAACAAGCAGGAGGGCCCAGGCGTGGTTCCATCTTCCTGACTCCTTAGTGACAACCCAGAAGTCTGGGGGTGCCCGGTTGGGTGTGAAAGTCATTTACAGAGTAAACCCTAATCAAGGCTGAGCCTTTTAACACCTGCATACTTGTTACACAGCAAAATTTTATTCCCAGGTCTTTCCTTTTATTTAGATGAAAAACTACAAACTAGAATTATGCCTGTTCTTTAAAACCACTGTTACCTGGGGTGCATTTATTCCAGAAGGTTATTTTTTTTTATCTGCTACAACACTGTAATGCACTGTACTTTATAATTACTAGTGAAATTTTACATTAAAAAATATTTTCCTTAAGATGTTAGCCAAGTATTTAAAGACAGTCCATACTATGAATTCTCCTAACTCAAGAAATTCCAGGTCACCACAATTATCTTTATATTACAGAATTAACCTTTAATATCTTAAAATCCCCTAGACAACTGTTGGAAATACACACAAGGCCAACATTTGAAATTTATGAATCTACTATTAACCATTTTTGGCTATAGCCACTGGGTTTTTCAAATAGAAGAAAGTGTAACTTCATTGGACAGAACAGTCCTCTATTATGACATAATGTTTTCAGTTGGAAAACTTCAGAGGGACAAATTCCTGAAAACAAGTTATTCATTTAGAGCATTTAGTCTTAAAGAGTTGGATTAAGACTAGTGGGATTAAGATAAACTCTTGGGAGAGATTATTGCTGCCAAGCAGGTTTGGCAGCCAACCTCTGGCAGCTGAGCACCAGCGCCGGAGGATGAAGGGATTCTCTGGCATCACTGTGAGCGTCCTCTTCGTTGTGACTGTAGAGAGCAGTAGGGTTTTCATTCCCAAGTGGAAGAGCTTACATCCTGCTGTTTTTTTAAAGTAATAGATTTTAGCAAAGAGTATTCTAATTTAAACATTTTATTAAATAATTTAGATGTATGACCCGCCATATTCAGTAAGAACTGAAATTGGAATATGTAATGGTAAGGAAAAGGCACCTGATTGGCCAAAGCATTTTTGCTACTTATGATCATATTTGTGCACTAATGCCTGTTACTAACTAGTCACCCTAACCCTGCTTGCTTGCATCCCTACTAATAGTGCATGCACTGAAGGAGGACTGGCTTCATTCGTGCTTGCTGCCAATTATTCTGAATACTAAATGTGTGCACAGATGTGTAACAGGTGGTCACAGGGCTGGCTGTTACTTCTTTAATTTCCATTCTTTTCTATATCGGGCAGGCTTGAGGTATAGTAGAAAGAGCACATGCTGTAGAATTGGACATGCCTGAGTTAGAATTTCAGCTCTCTGGGTAGCACAGGCAAGGCACAGCCTGGTAGATCTGTAAAATGGTGACATCTGTCACAATTGTTGAAGAGATTAAATCGGAAAGCCCCAGTTACAGTTCTTACTATACAGTAGGTCTAAATGAGTGGTAGTTATCATTTTTGTCTAGAAGAAAATATTTTTAATCAAAGTTATGTGTTAGATTCGTATGTCAACATTTTAAAAACTCATCTGCCAGGCCCGGCCTTCCAGGACCCAGACACAGGAGGTTGGCAGTGGGGCCCAGGCATCCATGTTTTGATTATGATGCACCACTTGGTTTTCCTAGTATCAGTTCTCTCCTGGGTTAAAAAGACAATGCTCTGGAGGAGAAGAAAAGAAATATTTTCATATAATTTAGTGAGCCTGAGAATACCTGTGAGTCATTTGCCCACCATACAACAGATAGACTAAGTCATTCACATAGTAGCCGTAAAACTGGACACCTTGCTGTCTCTTATGGTGTCCTCTTTTTTAAACCAAGCTCTCTTTGTAGCATGAAAGTAATGCATTTTTTAAAATAAGCAT